AACAGTCACTATGTTTTCACCAATATATGCAACACGAAGCCACATTTTCAAATAGTTTTGAATTTTCTGGTCAAAGTTCCTCAGCCAGCTCCAGCAAACATTTATTCAGTGGACAAAAAGATCGTCGCGGGCCGGATAAAATGACCTCGCGGGCCGCATCCGGCCCGCGGGCCGTAGTTTGGAGACCCCTGGTCTAATATATAAAGATGAAAGATTCTGTGCTCTGTGGGTATGCTTGTGTAAAACATGCATATAATACAAAAATTCGACTCGGTCGCCGATGTGTAATATTCCTAAAGTGTTCATTTTTGGACAACAATCTCAATTGAAGTCTAAAAAATAAATATTAATGCTTTTGTAAACAAAGTTCTCGTTTTCTAAACTATCATTATAATTGACGAAATACGTAAAGATCAAAAACAAATATATCACAATTCACAAAAATTATTATTTAGTCTAAACAAAAAAGGAATATCTTCCCATAATACCAATTATTTTTCTTGATAGATCACCCAAAAAAAACATTACATAGAGAAAGTAGGCTACTTGTTATTAGTTTGTTTTGATGTTGGAAAATATATATATATAATTAGCATGTGTTCGTTTTAAATAGTGCGATATGCTATACATAAAAAGGTTTAGTATATTCGTTCATTAATTCGAACCCACGGCGTCCTCTCTCGCCCAGATATTTGGCGCCTCCGGCCTTCCCGTATGCACTTCAGCGCCAACGTTCACTAAAATTCAATCAGGCGAGCCCACAGTCGTCCATAGGCGCCCCGCATGATGCTATTTGGCGCCCAGGCTATACTGTGAGTACTATGTGTTTGTGTTTAAGTTTGTGTTAATGTTTGTGTTTGCGTTTGTGTTTTGGTTGCATTTCGTTAGAGTTTGTTGCCGTTTTCGTTAGCTTTTCTGTTTGCGATTGCTATTGTGTTTGTTTGTCTATATGATTTTGTTAGTGTTTTTGCTTTTGTTTCGGTTTGCGTTTGCTTTTGGGTTTTTATTCGGGTTTTTGTTTGTGTTTGTATATGTGTTATGTCTGATTTTAAGTTTGTGTTTTGGCTTTGGTTGGTTAAAGTTAGGGTTAGGTTTTTGAGTTGGAGTTTGATGTTGGGTTATGAGTTATTTTCTCAAACGTCCATATTTGCATAGAGACATTGATATGACAAGTAATACATTTCCTAAACTCGGGCAGTGCCGGATATATACTGCTTAATCTCTCTATATTTACATTGTTTATTTGGTGAAAAAACAATGACTATTTACAAAACTTTTAGGGTACCTTAGTTTTGTACATCTCGCTAATTTTTTTCATAGACCTGAGTAAAAGAATGGACATGGAAAAATTACCGGTCAGTTTCTACTCACAAGGCAATGGCTAAAAAGCGACAGAAAGTTAAATTATATAAAAAAAAAACTCCTTTGGCCGAACCCAAAGAGCTGGCTTTTACCAGAATCTCTTTGTGAGATCGTAGAAAATCGCATATTAATTAAAAAAAAAACAACTAATGAAGTATAATCTTTGAGTTATACTATTAAGAAAGCATCTTAGTACTAATTACCTCTCAAGTAATAAATTTGCGAACTTTCCGTCAACTTCACACAAATTACTCTTAAACTTGAGCAATTTACATAACAGCAAATCACTAATTACTTAACCATTGGAATTTATCAAATGTTTTTCAAAAAACCTAGAGAAGCAATGCCAAGCCGGGACAGCAAGTTTTTATTTTAAAAAAAAATTATAGTCTTTATTGAATTATGAAAAAAACGGATATATATTTTGTCATTCAGAAACGTACATAATTCAACAATCGTGAACTCAACGTGTTAACAATCGGTCACGGTCACGGTCATGGTTAGGGTCAGGGTCAGGGTCAGGGTCATACAAGTAGGTATATGTAAGACTATACCCTATAAAAGTTGCTAATTAAATTTTTAATTAAAACACTTACTCTTCTTTCGTATGGAGGTATATATGTACTGTATATTGCTAAACCTGAATTGATTGTCCCACGTTTGTATGTAATTTGTAATAGAGAAATTGTTGTAGCAGTTGTTGGTACACCAGCACGTGACGCGTCACATGTCACAGTAAAAGTTCCTCCAGTCTCAGCTACACTTGGGCTTACGATATCATTTCTACTGGTTTGACCTTTCACTAAAACGATAATCTTGCATTAAATGCTAAATAAACACTTTTCACAAGCTTTTATTTAACTTCAGTCTAGATCGAAACGCCTGAGCAAAATTACGAGCACTTCTAACCGACAAATAGGGTTCGTTGTTCGTACGTGGGTCAGGACATAAAAATAAATGCAACATGACATTTCACCTGACTTATTTGTTGCCTAATTATTTTTTTATAAATTAATTCAAATTTTGTCCAAATTAGTAGGCTGTCTCTTCCAACGATGCTGCACTATTATACACACGTTATCACGTTCATTAGGTGCGCAATGGTTTTTAGTCATGCAACTCTATTATAAATTTAAAACATTTAAAGTCGGCTGTCTCATCAAACTTTCCTCGAGCAATTATCCACGCGTTGTTAAGGTGCGCAATGGTTTTTAGTCATGCAACTCTTATGTATATAAAACATGTAAAGTACTAAAAAAAATTTGTAAAAAAAACGGTTTATTAACTAGCTTGTATGTAAAAATGCACTAAAAAGTAGAAAATAAATTATCCACTACTGTTTAAATAATTTTAAAGAATAGCGTTGGTATCTTCCTAAATATTACTAAAGGGGTCCAATAGATACGATTTTATTTATAGTTAATTAAATTGTAGTGTATAATTTATGTTCTACTTTTTAGTGCATTTTCACATAAAAGCTTGTTATTAAAACGATTGTATGATATTTTTTAAAAATTCAATTAAGTAATCAATGTATTATTTTATTAGACAATGGCCGTTATATTGAACACAGTTTCAACACTTATACAAAAAATTATTTTTTAAAAAAATTCTTTTTAAACAAAAATATTCGGGAAAAGAAAAAATATAACCTTTTGATAAACCCAGTATTGCCATCCCCAAGCCGTATAAAATGCAGTAGTTCATTTTGAAATGCATGAATTTGTCGTCATGAAAGATAAAATGTACCAGATGGCTTAGCTAAATATAAATGTAAGTTAACCAGTCTTTTCGTTTTAAATAGAGTCTAGTCTACGTTACAGTAGACGTGGCGTTGGAAAGCAGAGGTGATGCTAGTAGGGATGCAGGGGGGGGTTGGTTGATTTATTCGAGAAAAAATAAGTTAACTCTAGTTGTCAGTAATGATATAGCAATCATCATTAGAGGTATAGTCGACTCCAGAGTGTCAACGGCGTGGTCGTATTGTTTTACAACTGCTAACTCGAAAGCCTTGAGTTTGAAATAATTTTTCTGAATCCACACAGCTCTGATGGAGAACTGACTCACTAGGGAAATAAGAGGTGGCTGGGCATAGTGCCGATCACACTTTTCTTTCATATGTCGAGGTTACTGAAACATGTGAACTCTACTTTACCTGGCGCAGGTTCGAAAAGGGAACTTTACTTAACTTTTCTGGGACAGATTGGCTCAAAGAGAGAGCTTACAACTGCTAACTCGAAAGACTCGACTTCGGATCCCGGGCTCAAATGTGTAGGATGTCCACTCACGCTAGATTGTCAGCTGATACACTTTAGGGAAATAAAAGCGGCTGGGCATTGTGCTGCCCGCACTATCTCCTTGTATGACGAGGTCATTGAAACGGGAGAACTCTACTAGCAGGAAAAATTAATGATTACTGTGCCATCTACTCTGTTTATTATGAAATAATATGGATATATTTCAAAACAGCCTCATGCCTTTAAATTTGTGTGTTTTTTCAACGCTAATTGGTCGCCAATAAAGTACTACTTATTAATTGTAAATCCAAACCCTAGCCCTAACTTCGCTGTACCTACGCCACTGTTTCACCACTAGAGCTCTATACTTGTCTCGTCACCACATTTTATCCACAAGAAACAAATCTCTGTCTGAGTACACATACATGTGGGTGGTTTAAAAGATTATAGGATTAACAACGGATTAACCAACAGCTTTAAAGAAACCAAATCCTACATGTTTTTGAGCTAACGATACGGGCAGTGATGTTTTGTAAAGTGTTGAGATGAAGACTAAACGGTATTATATTCTGAATGTATGGAGCATTATCACAGCTTAACCAACATTCTGGTAAATGAAAAAATAACCATAGGACTAATCAGACAGTACGGGTCCATTTTTATTGGAATGGCAACTCGAGATACAGACAGGCTTTTAAATCAATTTTTAAATAATAAAACTTTTAAAAATAAAATAGAATCTCGTTGAAAAATAAAATACGCACTACGTGAACAGCTAACAATGTGTGTATAATAGTGCGGAATGTTAGTACTTTATACTAACTTATGCGTTTTTCGACAAATCGGAAATAGCATAAAGTATTATTTCGGTAAAAGGAAATTATTCAAACTTTGAGAAAAGCAGAAAATTAATTGTTGTACTCATTTGTAAAAATTCATTCATCTATCTGAAAAAGCTCTCATGTTAAGTCTTTTGAAAAACAAAAGTACAATAAAAATCATTTTTCGGTTTCCCGATATTGCTAAAGGTTGAAGCAGAACTTCAATTTTTTTTAATACTTACGTATAAAATTTCATTAACCTATCTGTAACGGTACTCAATTTATCGTGTTGACACACACATACATACACACATAGACATACTGACAGAATTGCAAAGAGCAGTTTTTCCGACTTGATTTCGCATAAAACGCCGAAATTTTGATAACGCTGGATTTATAATTTTAGCCCGATTAAATAAGTCCCCTATACTCCGTTTATGATGTAGTGGTGCCTGCTGAGATGTAAACCGGTTAAAACTGTCAAAATTTCATGTGATTTTTTACCACTTTATTTTGATTGGGAAATACATTTTCAAAACAAAACCAGTGATTAACTTAATCTAAATCACAATCTTAATAATTATGATGCGGTTTCTTTAGATCTATTGGCGTGCGTTGAGATTTCCCTATGTTGATTTTCTAAATTGACGAGCTGTAGCATGTGGATATAGTTTGCCATTGTGTTGCAGGCGTAAAAGGCAGTACCACTTGTACCTGTACCACTTGTACCTGTAACACTTGTACATGTACCTGTACCAAATGTACCTGTACCACTTGTACCTCTACTACTTCTACATGTACCTGTATCAATTGTACGTGTACCACTTGTATCTGTACCACTTGTACATGTATCTGTACCAATTGTACGTGTACCACTTGTACCTGTACCACTTGTACCTTTACCACTTGTACCTGTACCACTTGTACCTGTACCTGTACCACTTGTACCTGTACCACTTGTACCTGTACCACTTGTACATGTACCTATACCAATTGTACGTGTACCACTTGTACCTGTACCACTTGTACCTGTACCACTTGTACCTGTACCACTTGTACCTGTACCAATTGTACCTGTACCACTTGTACCTGTACCACTTGTACCTGTACCTGTACCATTTGTACCTGTACCACTTGTACCTGTACCACTTGTACCTGTAACACTTGTACCTATACCACTTGCATCTGTAGCAATTGTACCTCTACTAATTGTACCTGTACCACTTGTACCTATACTAATTGTACCTTGACCACTTGTACCTGTACCTTTACCACTTGTACCTGTACAAGTTGTACCTGTACCACTTGTACCTGTAACACATGTACATGTACAAAATGTACCTGTACCTGTACCAACTGTACCTGTATATATAACACCGTTTGCATAAGGGATGTTTTATTATGTGTAATACTTTTTACATTTTAATCATTGGACAAGTTATATACAATTTAAAAAATTATTTAAACTGGAATCAACGAATACGGGTAACGTATTATATTCTATTATGGGACAAGGGGGTGAAGGGGAGAGACGATAAATATCCGTAGTTATCTCGTAGGGAGACACTCTCATAGCTTTCTCCACAATGATTCATGCAAAGCACAAAACCAAATTTAGATTAGTCAGTTAATTTTCTATTTGCGACACACACACATTTCTATGTATAGCTTTAATACATTTTGTTACACTTCCACGCAAACAAAACAAAATTCCGGATAATAGTCTGTACGCTTTAATCAACTAGCAACATACTTAAGGCTACTTTTGATTTCAGGAAAAAAATTCAATAGGCTTTATTCAAAGTCTCCTACAATGTCACCCATGTCACTGAAAAAATTAGAAACATAGTTTAAAAATAAATATAAGGAATAAAACTTACTAAAATTATCTGAATGAAATATTTTCTTTTATGAAATAATTTAAAATTCCTGAATGTTTTAAATTGTGAATAGTCAATTTTTAATTTATTAAACATATACTGCATACAATTCTATAAAGTTTATCAAAAATCATATTTTATTGTATAGAACTTTAATAACCTTTCAGTTAAAGTCTAAAATTAGTACATTCTTTATCAATATAAATATACCTGTTTTGTGTATATCGTCATATTCCCCACAATTGTGTCTCTGTTGTTTTCTGTAGCCACACACATATACATGTAGCCATCATACATGTCTTCTGTTTGAAACTTCAGTGTTGACGAATGAATATACTGGACACAGGTTGTCACAGAACTGACCAGCACAGGTTCAGCAACTGACACAGCGTTTTGTACAGGATATGGCGTAAAACTGCTAAAATTACTTAATCTTCCTCCAAACTTCCATTGAAAAGTTACGTTTTTTGGTCCCTGCAACAAGGTACGGACACATTAAAAATATAAACAAAAATAAATATGGAAATAAATTAAATAAACCGGGGATGATCTTCCCTAAACTTTCTCAAATATTCTTAAATACAATACGGGGGATGGCAACTCAGGATTTATACATCATTTTTAATCAATGTTTTATTACTTCAACTTTTTTAAATAGAATAGAATTAGGGGAGACCACTCCAGGTTTATTTTTATTAACCTTGACTGTGTATAATTAAATACTGCTGCTTAGAGAGTCCTTTTACTATGTCGTATACAGAGTATGTAGGAAGTATTGTAATCGTGCACACAAACCACATGCAATTTTCACAGTATTCATAGTTTTACATTTCAGTACTTCCTTATATACGGGGACTTATTTTAATCGGGCAAAAATAATAAATCCAGATTTCTCACAATTTCAGAGTTCTGTGCGTAATTGAGTCGGAAAAACTGCGCTTTGCCACTATGTCCGTATGTTTGTGTGTGCGTGTGTGTGTGTGTGTGTGTCTGTAAACATATTAACTTGAGTAGGCTACCGCTACATCTAGGTTAATGAAAGATCATATACAAGTATTATATGAAATTTATAGTTCTGTTTCAACTTTTCAGCGCTTTCTGGTAACCAGAAGTTGAAAGTATTCTAATTTTTGTTTTTCAAAAGCCTATAACTTGGCAACTATTTCAGATAGATAAAAGAAATTTAAAAATAAGTAAAATGTCTAATTCTATGCCTTCTGTAAAAAGCCTATAACTTCATTAGGACTTTCGTTTCAAATAGATAAATGAAATTTCACATGTAATTAAAATATCTAATTCTCTGCCTTCCATCACATTTTTAGTAATTTCCGTTGACCGGAAGTGGTAATGTACGCTATTTCCGATTTCTCAAAAAATGCAAGTGAATTTATAAAGTACTAATAATATTCGCACTATTATACACAGATTGTTTGACGCGCAATTCTTTTTTCTACGAGACTCTATTATATTTTTAAAATGTTAAGTAATTAAAAATGGATTAAAAATCATGTCTTTATCCCGAGTTGCCATCCCCCGTTGTTTATATAAGAATATTCGATACATTTTAGGGAAGATCACTCCCGGTTTATTTTTTATATATTTTTTTACTCATTTTGCCGCCCCTTAAGGGTTGACGCCCTGGTTGGCGCCTTTCCGTTTCCTCTCCTAGCCATGCCGCAATTTGTCCTAGCTGAATCTAAATTTTAATTAGGACCGCCACCATTAATTTAGTCGTTTTAAATGGCTCCCTTTTTTGTCTTGGGACCTATTGTTACTGTATAACAATCTTACTTTACCTAACTGACCTACAACATGTATCGTTTAATAATACTACAGGAAAAAAATCACAAGAAATAAAATAAATTTAACTAACTGTTGTAGCTCTAGCACTATATACAAAATATATATTTGTATTTGCGTTATACGTTTGTTGTAAACAAATGTGAAAACAATGACAAAACCTTACAGTGGCATTACACAACAAAGTAACATTAGACCCTGCAGGATTGACCGACTCGTATGGACCCCGTCCCTTGGCATTCTGGGGAACTAAAGTCAGGGACACAGGAACTACTTGGGCTGTTTGAGTTTAAAGATTGTGAGAATAAATTTAAAAAAAAACATTATTGACTGTTTTTTTGAAGCCGAATTTATTTATGTAATGTAAAAAATTAACACGAATTTAAAACTATTGTTTAAAAAAACGTTTCGAAATTAAAACTTTTAAATACACAAAAATGTTAACGACAACCTGCTATTTTAAACTCAAAAATTAAATCATGCATTATCTTTGTTGTATTTTAATTCAAACGTTCAATAACAAGTTGTGTGGCGAAATTGTTTCTTTAAATTTACAAATTTCTATCTTAGCGATTATAAATGCCGAAGATGCGTAAAAATGCATCATTCCAGGCATGACAATAGTAGACAAAATGGGGATGCCAGACTTACCTACAATACTGAGATTCTGGTGTCCAATGAAAAATAAAATTTCATCGAATGAAGCTCTACAAACATACAATCCAGCATCTGCACATTTAGCGTCTTGAACAATTATTTCAATTTTCATTGTGTTTCTGTTGTTTTTCATTGTGTTGCTGTTGTTTGGAGATTCGGATGTTTCTGCCAAGTTTCCAACAAAATTAAAACTCCAGTTTCTCTCAGGTAGAGAATATGGTATAAACTAAAGAAAAACAAACAGTATTATTTCAAAACTAAATGGATTAATGAATAGATTGATTGATAGAAAGATGTATATATGAATAGATAATTGATAGAACAACGCATGGGTGGACAATGTTTTAGGTTTGATGTACGCTATTTGATAGCGGATTTTAGCGGAGGACCGCACCGTTTAAAATAATTGTATTATTTATTTAACATTATATTTCCTTAAATTATAAATGGTATCATAAAAATCAGTAAATAAAATGTGTCTGTGTTACCAAAAACATTTTGTGTTTCCATTCTTCATAAAACACAAGGGATTCATCACCAATTTTACGCTTTTTCGTAGGGTTCATGGCTTTACGTAATTTGGAAATTTTTAAATTTTACTGTTGCATAGACAAAACTGAAATAAACTGACAAAACGGGAAAGTGTTTATTTTCACTGCCTGCGCATGCGCATTGACAAAGCCGCACTAATGAAAAAAATACGAGATTAACTTTCGGTCGCGGAAATGATGCAAATCTCAGTTCACAGCGGGGTTCTCTGAATCTATGGCGGGCAACAAAAAACTCTGTGGCGAGCCGCATATGGTCTGCAGGCCGCAAATGGCACACCCCTGGAGAAACAGATATAGGGATGAAGTGAGAAAGAAAGAAAGAAGAGAGAAGATATGCAGGTAAAGAGACTGCAAGGGTAGACGAATTAAAGTATGGAGAGATAGAGATAGACGGACTGATGGGTGGATGGATAGACGGATGGACGGAGAGACGGACGGATGGACAAATGAATGGATGAATGGATTGATATATTTTAGTAGACAATTTATTATTATGTAAGTCTCATCTTCAATAAAACATTTGAAAAACTTAAATATGTAATAATCATAAAAAAAAATTAATTTGGCTACATTTCCTAGCTTATTTAGCTTTTGAGAAACTTGCAACCAAAATGTTTATTACAATAGTAAGATCTAGGTTCAAATTTGTTTGGCTAACAAACACGCATATATTTAATCTGACGCGATATTAAATAAATACACACAGCGAGATAAAGATCAATATTTCAAATAAATGGTCGGCTATATGTGTCCTGGGTGGTGAATGGGGGAAGAATGATTCCCAAAAAATATAGCAAAAGATTTTCTGTTGATGTTTCCCTGGATTTATATAAAGGTTAGTACCAAAAACTGAAACAATACTAATGTTAAATCTAGTAATTTCGGTATTGCAAAATCATCCAACATTAAAAGAACACTTTTCTTTGAAGTTCAATACTAACAAACTAATTAAAAACTAATACAACTGACTCAAAACAAGTGTATATTTAGTCCTATATGGTTTAAATATCTACTTATTCTGGATATGAATGCCATTTCCTGAAATGTATACATAAACGTCGTTAAAAGTTTTTATTTAGAATAATATTCTTATTGAAAAATATTTTGTATTCACAAAACAGGCACTACCGGTGTGTCTTCGATTAGCGACGCTTGCCACAATAAACTTAATTTGGTGTAGCTTTGAATCATCGTGAATCGCAGTTGTAGATCATAATACCCATTTAACTATACCTATAAACGTTAGTTTCCCTGCATAGTGCTTTTGGGTAAATTTTTTAACACTACCATTCTCCCGTATAGCTTATTATTATTTGATTTCTGTAATAAATTGAGGTAGTATTTTAAATACTTTTTGTTTACCCTTTATCAATTCCATGAAAATTCGAGCATGGAAATACATTATTGGGATTATCTATCCTGATCAATGGAAATAATTTTTTAAACTTTTGTGAGATGAAACTATATTTTTTTTATGGCGGGAAGTAAGTTTATCTTAATTATGTAACCTGTACTTTGCGTTATCAATCTAACATTTTAGAAATGATTAATTTTAATTATTTTAGACATCAATTTGTATTTAAGAAGTTATTTAAAAAATTTAAATACAGAAGAATGGTTTTATACTTTATGGAAATCTTCCACAAACATTTCCTCCTGTGTGTCACACAATCCCTTTAATTTTCATACTATTGACTTACTTTATGTTCATATGGAGGAGCGTATGTCCTGTATCTTGCTAATAATACTGGACTATTCGACGTGTCTGTCCATTCAATATGTAATAAATTAAGAGTTGTAGTATTTGATGGAACACCAGCATGTGATGCGTCACAAGTCACATTGAATGATCCGCCTTCTTTAACCTCTCTTGGGTTAACAATCGAATCGCTGTCACTTTCAATGTAATAAAAAATGTATTAAAAAATTGAAAAGGATCTATTACTTTAAAAATGGAAAATGCCAAAATAGACTGATAGATACATCTAAAGATTCGCAATATTATACATCAGTTAACTACTTAAGTTTTAGCGAATAACAATCTGACAAGAGAACAATTATTTAACTTACATTGTAAATTGGTTGAGAAATGTTAATAATATTCTTACATGTACGTTATTAAGCTGATATAAAAAAATCAATATGAACAAAAATATGTCATAACTAATTGTTGTGTAATGAAATGTCATGATATTAAAAAAAAGCAAATGTATTTCCTTAACCATTTGCACAATTAATAAAAGCTTTACATGTCCTGTCTTTTCAAATCAAATAAACAAACGGCTATGTCATTTGGTTTAAAGTACTAGTGTTTATATGGTTAAAGTTTTTAAAGTTTGAATTTTAGTAAATACACTCTAGTGTCGTATTCCAACAACATTAAAACTTTAGCCTAAATCATAAATAATATCCATATTTAGCTAAAAGTAAGTCAAAATAAATTTTCTAAGTTTGAAAGAGAATATAACCCGGACAAATAACTCCATGGTCAAAAACCCTTGGGATATAACATCCAACGGTAACAAAACAAAATTGAAATCCATCAAAACGAAAAAAATCATCCTGAGTTTCATCTGTTTGGAGTTTATTCTATGAAAAAAACTACGAAAAATTATTGTTGCTAGTTTTAAAAATAAAAATGAATTTCTCATTAATTTACTTTGTAAAATGTATTTCTAAAAGACTTTTCATTGCGATTCTACCTCGGAAATATCATTTAGTATCTGAATCAAAAAATCACATTCCAGCATTCTACTGTCTTCCTCTTCCTCTGAGACAAATGAATATTTTTAAAAAAGAAAAAATTAAACATTATATTCTGCGGATATATATATATATATATATATATATATATATATATATATATATATATATATATATATATATATATATATATATATAAAACATCTGATATTGGTATATGTCGAGGGTCTGTTGTTGTTTTGTCCCTGAGGGTTTGTTTAGGACTTTATTTTGAGGGGTGTGGGGATGTTTTGTTTACTACTCTCTTATCAGCACTGTTGTCATACATACCTTACAGGTTTTACACGAAACTCTGAAAATTGAAAAAAACCAACTGATTTTGTATTTAAAGTTGTAGGCCCCGGTAAAAAAAACATTTTTACTACTAGAGAGCAAACAAGTTTGTCTCTGCAGCTTTTTAAAGGTACATCCAAATATGCATTTCCGCTAAAAACAATAATTGGCAAAAGTTTTTGATAACTATAACAACGGCGGCCATCTTAGAATTTTAACCTCTTTGTAGGATTTCCAACATTACTAAAATACTGCATATCGGATGTAGCTTTAAAAAAGCTGTAGAGGAAAAGAAAGTAATGCTTTACGAAAAGTTTTTTCGATTACTTTTGAATGAAGGATAACTATTTAAAATGGTGATAAAACATATAAGTTTCAAGAGATCATTATGAATTATCCCCCACTTTTTTACACATTGCGAGTAAAAGCAGATAATAAAGTATTTTATTACTAACAATTTTAAGTAAATTAACTCCATAGTTTTACTTTAATTTGTAAATCTAATAAAATATTAACAATATATTATGTAAACATATGCTTGGTTAATAATCAGTGCAGTAAATTAACTGTACCTTGACTTAAGCATATAGTAATATTAGCAACAATTGTTTCTCTGTTGTTTTCTGTAGCCACACACACATACGTGTAGTCATCATACTTGTATTCTGTTTGAAACGTCAGTGTCGACGAATGAAGGTACCTGGTACAAGTTGTCCCAGATTTTAATAAAACAGTTTTACCAATTGTTACTGCGTTTTTGTCAGGATATAGTGTAAAGCTGCTAAAGTTACTTAACATGCTGCCAAACTTCCATTGGATGTTTACATTGCTAGATCCCTGCAATTATAAAGCACTACATACAAAAGAACGAACATATATCTACAGTTAAATATAATTGCAACAACTTTAATTTTTGCTAAGTGTACTTAAGAAACAAGACGTTAAATTGTGTAGTTTGGGGATTAAATGAAATAAGCTATGAATCAACATACACACTAATTTAACTTAAGTCACCCCAAAAAAACTCCATTAAAATTCGATACTGATCTTAATTTTATCGGGAAATAAGTAGATGTCATATTACTGTTATAGCTTTTAATTTTGTTTTCACTCAATTGTTTCATTTATTTACTGAACTTACATTAACAAAACACGTTAAATTGACATTTACTCCCTCATCAACACCCAATCTCAAATCTACTGGTTGATACCGTGGTCCCCTTTCGAAGATTTCTTGGAATGAGGCGACTTTATCGAAAACAAAATCTATTAAAACAAGAAAAAACAGTTATGAATAACTAAACAAAATGATAGAGAAAAGCATGCACCCCTATATTGTGTTCGACGTCTATGTTTTACTGTTGCCTGTGTTTACGAACGAATCATTTGTGGTCGTTGTATGTACTATATTCTTGGTTAAGGGTGCAAGATACCCATGTTTTCGATTAAAAAAACTAATTTTGCTCCCCAAAATTTGTATTTCTTAATTCGGTACTAATACCTTTTATCTATTTAACCCGAACATTTCGGATTCGTTGATACGCTTGACCAATCATATTATAGTACAGTAAATCATAGTAATGTACGATAGGTTGCAACTAACCACGTGTGCCTGGCGGTCATCTTGTTTCTAGATAAACAAAACAATCGCCTGTCTTAGTTTGTTTACTTTTTTTGCATATACTCTTCAATTTGTTGTTTTAAAATTATACAACAACATTTAGGTTAATAATTGAAACGTTGCCAAGAATTGTACTGTTGATTGTTAATGTAACACTATTAAACAATGTTTGGTACGCTTTATACTAAGCTGAAACAATGCGTCATGGACGTGTCAGTCTGGGGGAATGTATGTAGTAAGTCCATCCCCTTCACCCCCCTCATCCCCTTCTCGCTATTCAACCAACGACCATTTATAATCTTGTTACATCGTTCTGTGATAGGCTTGAACGCGTTCATCAGACTTTACATCGGACTGTATACGACACATGTGTTAATGTGTATGCCCTTCGGTTTTGTAGTGTTTGCTAGCAGCTAATGTAAATACTAGATGGGATAGCTGATATGCATTAATTGTAAGGAAACATAGTGCTTGACCCTATCTACACAGATGTGTTATTCACGGTTGAATAACCATACGTAATTTATGTCTCATTTGATCTTCACGCACTGTCCAGCGGTGGGGAGGTGTGGGATGGGGGGGGGGTCTAGCCTTAAGCGTTGTACCCTGGATTGTGTTGTAGGCTATTATTGAAAGGCAATAAACTTGTGTAAGCTACAATTTAAGTAGGGATAGACATTGTATTGAAGTGAGAAGACCGGCTGACAAACAAAACTTAATCTGGTTTAACAATAGTTGTTCTGAGAATAACACTCGATGGATAGGATGTATAATATATAATAGTCATTAATTCATTACCTGTTGTATACATATTTTCTGTCTACAAAAAAAATGATTCAAAAACTTACAATATAAATCAACGCGTTTTTTATTAGTCAAATGGTTCTTCCACACATAACAAGACGGTTTTTTTTCTGTTTTCTATAAGAGGAAACGCACAGAGCCTTTTTCCGCCCTTCTTTTCACGTTTTCTTAACTTTGCATTTTTACTTCAAATTCAACATTCAAATCGCTATACGAGATTGAAACATTCCATGTGCATTTAGCATTATACCCTCGACAAAACCTCGTTTGTACAATAAATTTAGTACAATACTTTAAGAAATATTGATATTTATGTTGCGCCACCCCCTCACTGTTGTACATAAATCTACGTAAAAATTTGTATTAAAAATTGAAAAAGAGCTACCACAATGAAAAAACGTAGAAATGTATAGTTTGATTTGAAAAATCTACATCTTTCATCAGCTTTACAAAATTTCTTATGGGAACAAAGTTATAAAGGTTTGAAAAGGTGTTAGTTTTCACACCTTTTCGTGGTTTGCATAGCAAACAGTACGGCTATATATTATTTTTGTCTATAGCTTAACAACTATTAATATATACATTTATTAAACACCCAGAATTGTGTTAAATTAAAAATACAAAATTCTTTCCGTGGGCCTAAATTAAAAAGTCGCCTATTTTCGTTTTCTGATTCCGATGTTTTGTTACCCACATATTTTTCTTACAGTTAAAATAATCGTATTATCAATATGTGAATCATTGAAGTAAGCCCTTCTGACGCGTTGCTGTGATCTGAGAAGAAATGTTAACGCAATATTTAAAGAGTATTTTATCAATGCGTTACCAATCGTCTACTTTTACAGTGGGGCCTTGTTTTCTAGTTATTTAAACGTAAAATAAGCAGTTGATGTATTAATTGGACATAGTGCCCACGGGGGCAGGGGGGGGGACATCCGGTCAAAAGGCCGACAAGACAAAAGGCCGACTGCCAAAAAGGTCGACTGTCGAAAGGCCGACAAGACAAAAGGCCGACAAGTTTTTTAAAACAACAAACTAAAATTACAGGCATTTTTAATATCTAAAATATGTAATTATATACGACTGTTTAAGTTTCTTAGAAAAATTATTAGGTACATACAATATGATAAAATAAAACACATGATGTAATCAATTATTTGTTGCCGATATATTGATCCATATATAGGGAAATCACAGGGGTAAGTTTACACAAAAAAAAAATAATTTACCAATTTTGGCACACTTGTATCACAATTACAACCGGTGCATACACTTTTTTCACGCAAGTCACAATGAACGAAACTAAAATATAATTCAAAGTTTGTCGGTATTGAACATGTAGTTCAGTCAAAGGCACGTGATCGGTCTACTTCGTTCGGTTTTTTTTATTTCTTGGCGAAATATGGTGGTAACACCACCTTTCTGGCTATCCTTTGTACACTCCCGTCATCTCCAAGCGTATGGACCCCATTTTTCCCCTTATAAGGATCGCAACTAGCATTGTCTCTTGGCTTCCACCTTGTTGCTTGTAGGCGGTGATGCCGGGAGCTTTTGACTTTGTTCTTTGATGATTATCTCCCCTCGATTACATAGAAGGAGCTATGAAAGACAGCAGTGACAGTATTTCGCAATATTTAGGTGTTGATCCGTTGTATTTAAGACACACGCGTAATCTCCAGTCGCTTGACCTGATAGCTTACCTTATAAGGATAGCAAATAGCACTGTCTCTTCTCTTGAACGTCTCACCTTGTTTTTCAAGTCTTATTTCGGTGGTCGTCAAGATAGGAGCTATGCAGTAATACATATTTTGCGCTAATAGTATTTTTTATGCTTGTCGGCCTTATGGTTTGTCGGCCTTATGGTTTGTCGGCCTGATGGCTGTCTGCCTTATGGCTGTCGGCCTTATGCCCTGTCGGCCTTTTGTCCATGTCGGCCTTTTGTCCGTGTCGGCCTTATGTCTTGTCGGCCTTTTGGATGTCGGCCTTTTGTCCTACACCCCTCACGGGGGAACCCTAGGCGCTGCAGGTCACTCCTCCGCCTGTCGCCGGAGGGCGCGACTGTTTCGAAGTAGTGAAATATTATAGTAGTCTATCTTATTCTTATTGTATCGAACTTTTTAAAAAGAACGTAGGCGCAATAGTGTTTTCGAAATTGAAATATTTTTACAGGAATATAATTGAGAGTGACAATTGACTTGCTTGACCACCCTGTTTTCATATTAAAGAAAAGTAACAGCGACAAGAATTTAAACTTTTATTTTCTCACGTTCTTTAACTTCACACAAAATTAACTATAAACTAATTCCCTATTTATACTAAACGGGTTTCAATTAGCTGAGAAAATTAGTAAATAAGGACTATTAACTAAAATTTCTTTCAAGGCTAATATAAACAAATGCGAATGTGTTTAGCGAAAAATGCGTTCATTAGCGCGTCTGGATTTTTTTTTCTTTTTGAGTGCCACTGGCTATTAGTTAATATAAAGGCTATTACAAAGATATTTGTATCACTGTTATGCAATAGCTGAGAGTTTATTTAGTTCAAAGAGTAAACGAGAAAAGTCCAGAATAGAGAAATGCAAATAGATTAGACGGAAGTTTTTTGGCGGTTAAATAAATTAGAATGATTAATCTTCGTGAAAAATAGTGATGCTAATTGTATTGGGTAGTCTAGAGCGCTATTTTCCTACTGTTTTTAAATTAGCTAAACTCCAGATATCAACAATGTTAAAACGTTCTATTTATTTTCTTTGGAAAATATTAGAATATAATAATAAATACATAAAAAACGATTATAAATACAAGCTTTTATAAATGCCCTAAAAAAAAGAAAATAATACAAATTTTTATAAAAATATAATAAATCTTCTGTTACTTTAAATATAAAAAAAATTACTTTCTTTAAATCTATTAACGCACTACTATATATCACTATAAATAAAAGCGTGGGCCGCTTATTTAAATACTTATTATTATAGCATTTATATATTCGATACTTTTATTATACAGACACTAACATTACCGAATAATTTTTGTGTCTAATCTTAAAAGTGGGCTTCATGAAGTGTTTCTTTCAGGCAGCTCTTGGGAGGGCCCCCTCTCCCGCCATAAATGGTCTACGCTGCCCCCCCCCCCCCCCCTCCACCCGGTCCACATAAAATTTATAAAGATAATATTTGGTTTTACCAGTGTCAGCTCCACCCAACTCCCCCAACATATTTTGTTACAAGCTTTTATTTAACTCACTTCCTCATCAGTCTGTCGTCAGTCTAGACGGAAACGCAGGAGTGAAAATTCGGACAGTTCTACTTGACCGATACGATTCTCATTTGGCACGTGGGTCAAGACATGAAGACAATGCAATCTGAAACTAAATTTGACTTAATTGGATGCCTAATTGATTTTTTTTTGAATTAATAAAAATTTGGACCGAATTAGTAGGCATGTCTAGCCAACCACACCACACGCGTCATCAATAGCTGCGCCATCACGACCACGTAATGGCTGCGTTCAAAAACCATTGCGCGCCTACTGAACGTGATATTCAGTAGGCGCGCAATGGTTTTTAGTCATGTAACTCTATTGTAGATAAAACATGTAAAGTACTGAAAAAAAAATTCATAAAAAACGTTTTAATAACCAGCTTTTATGTAATGATGCACTAAAAAGTAGAAAATAAATTATAGACTACTATTTAAATAACTATAAAGAAAAGCGTGGGTGTCTTCCTTAACATTAGTAAAGGTATCCAATAGATACTAAAGTGACCCACGCTTTTCTTTATAGTTATTTAAATAGTAGTCTATAATTTATTTTCTACTTTTTAGTGCATCATTACATAAATGCTTGTTATTAAAACGTTTTTTTTTTAATTTTTTATGAAAGTGCAGTAACTACGTTTAGATCAAATTAACCAGGAAAAGTATTGTGATACACATAATAGAATGTCGCCATTGGTTGTTGAATGAAATAAAGAATTGAGAATCAAATGCCGAAAACGATACGCAATAATAATGACGTAATTAATATAAGGACAAATATTACTTGTTTCATTTAAGAAAGGAGTGTAGATATACAAAAAATATCGTTAGAGAAATATACATATTAAGCTTTAGTATCGGGATTAAAGTTAGGGTTATTAGGTAATTTATCTGGTATAGTCATGTATATTTTAATCCTTTTAACACTCAAATGCCCCAAATATGTCTACGCTAAAATGTTGTGACAATATATCAGCAACATAGTTTTATTTCACTAAAAGAAGCTTTAAAACTCAATTCTTTTTTGTTAAATTAATTATTTAATTTTACAAAAATTTTCATGTATGCCTACCTGACACTTCAAAACCAGGTGGGGATGAAATTAATGACACTGGAACAAGGCGAGCTGTTAAAAGATTGGAATCTACTTATTTGAGCGATAAAGTTGTCAAATCAAAATGTAACTTTATATTAACTTCAAATCGTAGGGCTAAATGAAACTGATATCTTTGATTTTTAACTCGCCTGTAATTGTGTTATTCCGACTCTCCGTTACAACATCATTATTTAAATTGAAATATATCGCAGTACAAATGTACAAGACATCGTTTGGACATCTAATATCATTGACCGTCATACTAATCATCATTGTGTTTCTGTTATTTAGTTTGTCAGGTGATTCATTAATCCGTCCAGAGAAATAAAACTTTAATTTACCGGCAGGTGAATTTTTTGGTGGAAACTAAAATAAATATTTTTTTTAAAATGTGTATATAATTATATAACACCACATACACACACGTATATATATATATATATATATATATATATATATATATATATATATATATATATATATATATATATATATATATATATACGGACCCGTGGCACACATTGGACATGCATATTGTTAAAAACTCGGCTTGATCGCCATAGTGTAATACTCCTAAATGTTCCTAAATAAATGATTTTAAAAAATTAATATTGATGGCTTTGTAAAACACATTACATTTCCCAAACTAAATTAAAGAAAATGTTTTATCTTTCACGAAAATTCTAAATGTGTATAAAAATTAATTCCCTTAGTCCTTTAGCACCAATTATTTTCTTAATAGATAAAAAAAAAACTCAAAGTTTTCATGCAGCACCGTCTCTTAGCGTGCTGCGCGGAAGTGTTGGTAAACCCGTGCCTCGATAAACAACTCAGAGAGAGAGAGAGAGAGAGAGAGAGAGAGAGAGAGAGAGAGAGAGAAAGAGAGAGAGAGAGAGAAAGAAGGAGGGCGTGAAAGAGATTACACGTTTTTAAAATACAATGATCATATTAAAGCAGTAATAGAAAACAGTGTAAGTGTTCAATTTACATACCACATTGTAAGTTTACGAACTAATAAGGTATAACGTAATATATATATATATATATATATATATATATATATATATATATATATATATATATATATATATATATATATATATATATATATATATATATATATATGTATATATATATATATGTATATATATATATATGTATATATATATATGTATATATATATATATATATATATATATATATATATATATATATATATATATATATATATTTATATATTGAAATTCGACGAAAGGTTGTTGTATTTTCAAAGTTAGTTTCCAAAAAATATGATTTAATTGTATAAGTAATTCCTTACTGTTGATTCGTATGGGAAGGTAAGCGTGTTGTATCTTGCTATAGTAGTTGGCTCTTTTTCCCCCTCTCTCCTTGCAATAGTCAGGCTTAAAATTGTCGTTGCATTTGTTGGAACACCAGCAATTGAAGCGTCGCATGCCAAAGTGAACGATTCACCTACATCAACTGCTTTTGGGTTGACGAGGGTTTCACTAATTGGCTGACTAGCAGTAGAATAATTAACTTTAAGTATTTCTAGGTCAAAACAGTTGAAACATATTGGTATTTCAAATATTAATTAATTTAATAATAAAATGTGTATGAAATTAAATATAAAACAATACATAGTATGGTGGTCATCCTTACCTTGTATCAGGGGACTGTTTCCCTGGAAATATGGAACCTCTTTTGAGTCTTTTGTTTAAACAAATTTACACTTATTAAACTAGTTTCCGATTTAATAAAATGCTAAGATGAAATAAATAGTAGACCTAAATGAAAGATGTCTGAAAATATCATAACACACTCCAGACTTTTTTTATTTAAAATTTTCCTTTATACATTTATGTTGGAAGCTTTAATTTAACTTGCTCCCTCGTTATGTCTTTATGTCTGTCGTCCATTATAGATCGAAACGGGCGAGCGAAATTTTTAGTTCAACTTACTGAACAATTTCTCTGAAATTCGACAAGTTTGTCATGATGCAATGACATTGCAGTGTGACATAAATTGGGCCTCAATTGGATTAATATTAGTAGACTACTACTATCCGCACTATTATACGCGCATTATCGTTATCATAAAATTTATAAAAACAAGCGTTTATATAATAATGCACTAAAAATGAGAAAAATAAAAGATTTTCTGTAAATTCAATGAACCACTATTTTTAAAAAAGTTTTAATAACAAGCATTTATATAATAATGCAATAAAAAAGAGAAAATAAAAGATATTTTAAAACTTCAATGAACCACTATTTAAATGACTAAAAACAGCGTGAGTCGCTTCTTAAATTCTAGTAAAAGTATACAATACATATTTATGCGACAACGCTTTTCTTTCTAGTTATTTAAATATTTGCTCATTAAAATATATAAAGAAAAATCGTTCATTTTGTCATTTTAAATGCATAATTACATAAAAGCTTGTAATTAAAACGTGTTTATGAAATTCTATTAGCACTATTAAGAACTATAGTTTTGAAATTAATTTGATTTACCTGATTTAGTACTATTTGAATAACGCAAATATACTTGTTTTGTTATGTTTAATATTAACTTAGTAAAATCAAAATACCTTTTTTATGGTACAATGTCATGTTCCCAACGACTGTGTACCTGTTGTTTTCTGTAGCCACACACACGTACATGTAGCCATCATACTTTTCTTCTGTTTGAAACTTCAGTGTTGACGTATGAATATACTGGACACAGGTTGTCCCAGAACTGACCAGGACAGGTTCAGCAACTGACACAGCGTTTTGTACAGGATATGGTGTAAAACTGTTAAAGTTACTTAACCTGCTGCCAAACTTCCATTGAAAAGTTACGTTTTTTGGTCCCTGCAATAATGTACAGACACATTTAAAATATAAATAAAATAAACCATAACATATTTTTGCTTAATGATATATAAAAATATTGTTTTTAAACTTACATCGCGTATATTATCTAATAATAATATTTGTCAAAATAACTATATCATTTATAGAAACTTTTAAACTGTAATACTACTAAAATTTAAAAATAAAAATCGTGTTAGAATTGTTGTTACAGCTGAAACATAGTTGATATTTAATTATTGTATAATTAGTCATTGTTTCAAACTACTCGTTTATCTATCTAATACTACTAAAAGTCAAGTTTGTTTACATGTTTGAATATTTATTTGTTTGTTTTTATTGTTTGTTTGTTTGTTTGTCCGATCGAGTTTTGTGATATGTTCGACTCTATCTGGAGAGCTGTAAAATAGTATGTAGGTAGAGAATAATTTTTTAATGCAGACAGACTGTTAATCACAAATTTATTTAAAGACGTTAATTAATTTATTGATTTATTCATACGTAGAGTAACCCATTTTTTTTAAATGTTAAAACATTGACTAAACTTTGTGGGAATAGTGACGTCACAGGTTTTTGTTTACTCTTTAGTACAATAAAATGGCGGCGTCTATCGAAGAAAATTGTGTTCCCATTCAAAAGTTTAACGCGTTCTAAATCTAATTTTCTGTCGGTCATAACTTTAACAATACGTCCGTTTCCTGTATTTATTACGTTCCAACACTTATATCAATTTTCAACTGTCTTTTTCATTAGTTTTACAATAAATTTCTCTAGGTCTAAAGATCAGCTGTCGAAGGAAAGTTATTTATAGATCTAGATCTAGAATCTAGAATCTAAAAATCTAGGTCAAATCAAAGATTTATTAGTTTTAAATACAATTAAAAAAAACGAAACTTTAGCAACCCAGTCGTAGATCTAGAATATAGATAATTCTATCTAGATTTAGATAATAATGAGTTTCTATATACTAAACTATTTTAGACATTTATTATTTTATATAAATCTTTGTTTGTATAGCTATGAAATATGCTAATTAGGAAATGTTGGATGCAGGGCCTATTTGCATAACTTAAGATTCATACGCGGCTTCTATACCGCTAAGTGTGCAAAATTATAGACGTAAACTCTAGATATAGCTCAGTCGTAGATCTAAAATATAGATAATTTTCTATCTAGATTTAGATAATAATGATTTTCTTTTTACTAAACTATTTTAGACCTTTATTATTTTATATAAATCTTTGTTTGGAATATGGTAATTTTGAAATGCTCGCTCCGGGCCTATAAGCGTGGCTAATGATTAGATCTAGATTCTAGGTCTAGCAAGAAAAACTAAACATAAGAAGACTTACGCAAAAGAGTCGTAGAATCTAGACTAGATCTAGATAATTCTATCTAGATCTAGATAATTTCAGACCGTCTTTATTTTATATAAATCTTTGTTTGGCTAATTTAAGATAAAATTTAATTTGAAAGTTACTACTACTAGACTTAGATCTAGATCTATGCGCGTAGATCAATTTGCATAAGGAGACTCAAAGTATAGTATAAAAATTCATTTGTGACGTCACGAGTAAATAGCTAAGTTGGTAGCGTAGTCCGCTCTCATGCGGGTGGCACAGGTTCTAGACCAATATGTCAATGATATTTTTTTTTCAATTTTTTTTTTAGATGTGAATGATAAAGTTGCCTATCTGAACTTGGCAGGATACAGGGCAGGTGAAGTAGAGTTCATCTGTTTCTTTGTCCTAAGCATATGAAAGGATAGTGTGGTCAGAGACATGCTCGGCTGGAATCGTTTTTTAAACGTTAAAAACATGTTGTCTGAGACTTGGCGGGACACAGGGCAGGTGAAGTAGAGTTGAGTAGGTCACATGTGACGTCAGTATATGAAGGGATAGTCCGAAATCGGTGTTTTCGGTGTTTTTAAAAGATAAGAAACATATTTTTGAATGTGGGGTCTGTTTTTTGTGACGATAAGTGACACTGTAGTAGCGTAGCGAGGAGAGGGGGGGGGGGGCGGGAGGGGAGGCGGGGGGGGGGGAAGGGGAGGCGGGGGGGGCGGAGGGGACATATGTTGGGGCACCAAAATGGTTTGGAAAAATAAATTGAAAGGTTGAGGGGGGTTCAAATCGAAAGTTTGAGTGGGGGGGGGGGGTGCACATCAAAAGTTTGAGGGGGGGTTGAAAATCGAAATCTTGGGGGGGGGGGGGGTTAAAATCGAAAAGTTTGTCCCCGGGCGCCGGGAAGGGTCGCTATGCCTCTGAGTGACAGACGTGATGTTTTTTGATGGATGACCCCCGAAACCCACAGTTATCCAACGGATGACGGGTCTTCTAGTACTAAGTTAAAACTGTAAAAGTTCTTACCTCGACGATACAATTCAAATCCACATCATAACCGACATCAGTAACAGACTGATAAGGAAGCATTCCAACTTTATCCTTAGCATTTACATACATCGAAACAAGAATGGGTCGCGCTGTTTAAAGAATTAAATCCCATTAGCCATATTTACTGACGTCTTTTTATTTTAAACATAATGAATATAATCATTAATATATACGCTGACTATTTTAAATAAAAATGAAAAATGCTTTTGTTTCCATTACAATTTCATTTATTTTACTAATACAATGTATACATAGCAAAAATCTTGAAATATAGAACTACTTTTCTTTACAATGTAAATAATTGAATAAACATGTTTCTACTATATGTGTTTGCATTTAGACGGAATATGAAAAACTCACCTTTAACCGTGAGAATCTGGTAGCTATTTGATATCGAATCACTTTTATTGGAGTTAAGGTATATGGCAGAACAAAAATAGAATCCAGCATCTGCACATTTAGCGTCATAGATCACCACTTCTATTTTCATTGTGTTCCTGTTCTTTGGTTTTCCAGCAGTCGCTTGTAAGGTTCCAGTAAATCGAAAAGACCATTTTCTTGCAGGGAAACTTTGTGGTGGAGGCTGAATTAAACATATTATGTTGATATATATATATATATATATATATATATATATATATATATATATATATATATATATATATATATATACATATATATATACATATATATATATATATATATATATATATATATATATATATATATATATATATATATATATATATATATATATATATATATATATATATATATATATCCCTAACTTTGTATATACGAGATTTTTAGCGCTAAAAATAATAGCCAGTTTGATTATATCTCTATAGTCAATTGACAGGTTTCTATAATATTTTCTCGCACTATGGGTAATCATACTGGTTTTTTAGTTATGTAAAAAAAAAAGAAAAAAAATGTGTTTGTCAAGTTGCACGGTTTGTGACTGAGACCATATGGTTCACGGAACACGTGCATTGTTTTTAGCGCAATTTCCATATGGACAATTGCGATTATTAACTCGTCATTTCTGGATGGATGAGTGTCCCCAGCTTTAAGTCGTATCTTCTCCTCAACGAAGCAATATCGAGGACTAGTTTCAAAGCAAATATGTTAAGCAAGTTCCGAGGATGATTATGGGCTTAAAAAAATCCCGGAATTCTTTCCTGGATTTCCCGGAAAAGCCAAAAAACCTCGAAAAAATGCAGTTTTTGGCCCATATCTCGGCAACCAGACTACTTAGCGACTTGAAACATGTATCAATCGATTCCTGCCATAATTTAGAACAATATTGCCGAAGAAAGTTTTCAAAAATATCCTTCCGCTTGGTCACAAATTTTTTTTAAAAATTACATAAACACCTACAAACCGATCTTTGTCCTAGCTTGAACGCACCCCAGCATTATACGTCTTGTGTTTTGTCCCCGTGTGTGCTTTACGCTACGACAGAGCTACGGGTTATGAACATAATACACTACAGTACTATATAGCAATATATAGATATAGATCTATGGGGAAAGGGATGTGTCAAAATAATCTATTTTTCGCTGTCTTTTAGATCTTGCTATAAGTTTATTTTTTACTTATTAATTCAAACGTTATTTTTGTACCCTATTAATTTATTTATAATTTATATGAGAGTGATAGGGAGTTACAATTACAAGGTTTTGTTTCGCTAGACCGAATCATTTTTTCACATTTTTTAAAAACAAACTTGATCACTATCTATTTTTAGATAACATAGGGAAATTGCGCTTAAATTGTCACTAGACTTTTTATTAACTTGTTTTTTTTAGGAATAATATATTTTAAAATGTCCCCTCTTTTTCTCTTTCAGCATGTCCCGAGGCTATGAGATCAGTATCTTCAGCAATATTTGGAGAACTTAATATTACGGACGTCTGTTGAAAACAATATAATGGATGTTTATAATGTATTATCTTATTATTCTTTAAAGAAGGAAAATATAAATAAAGGCATAATCAAATGTAGAAACACATTTTTATTTACGTAACCGGAAAAGTGTTTATGGTTGTGAGAACACTTCAAAAAACAGTGCTGTGGCAAGGCGCATGTTTAAACTATGGAAAGTACACAACACTAATAGCGTCATCTTCTAATTTTATAATCTATATTTACTCCCCCGCTCTCCAGGCAAATCGCTACCACAACACCAATCTGGTGAGCACTTGTTCACGACGAATGTTTACAATCGTAGAGCCGGGATAGTAACTGCTATTAGGGGCAGATAATTTAGTATTAAACAATTTGAAACGAAGGGGGGTAACAATTTCTGATTGATCTTTGCTTTGTCTGTAAACGGCTGCTTTCACCGGGCCGGGGGGGGGGGGGTAGTGTTGAATTCACAAATTATGAATTACTGATAAGCAGAAAATAAAACAACCAGTTGGCAGCGTACGCTACGACGCGGGTCAGCTCGTATGAAGAAATGGGCTATTTCATTCAAATTTGAATTAGATCTATAGATCTACTTATCAAGACGTACGCTATAAAATGTAAACAATTGTCTCGGCCTAAAATCATACAAATTACTTTAAAGACAAAGTGTGCATTCAATATGGTGTTTTGTTTACAAATAATGTATATCATTGGCTTTAAGCTTTTTACTTTCTCGTATATACGAAGTATAGAGAAAGTATTGCAATCGTGCACAAAAATCACTTGAAATTTTAAAGATTTTCACCGTATTACACCTCAGTCCTTCATCACATCCGAAGTATAGGGGACTTATTTTAATCGGGCAAAAATTATTAATCCAGATTTATCGAAATTAAGAGGTTTTATGCGTAATCCAGTCTGAAAAACTGGGCTTTGCAAATCTGTCCGTATGTCTGTGTGTCTGTCTGTCTGTGTGTGTGTCTGTATGTAAACATGATTACTTGAGTACCGTTACAGCTAGGTTGATGAAATTTCATATATAAATATTTTATCAAAATCGTAAATACGTGTCAACTTTTGAGCGATTTCCGATAACCGGAAGTGGTACTTTTTCTACTTTGAAATTTTCAAAAGCCTGTAACTTGAGTACTATTTCAGACAGAAAAATGAAATTTCACATGTAAGTATAAGATCTAATTCTCTACCTTCTGTTAAATTTTAAGTAATTTACGTTGACCGGAAGTAGTAATTTACGCTACTTCCGATTTCTGAAAAAACTAATGTACATTTTTAAAGTACTAATAATATTGCTCACTATTATGCACTTTTTTTATTTGGCGTTCACTTGGTGTGCAATTCTTTTGTCTACGAGATTTTATTCTATTTTTAAAATTTTAAGTATTTAAAATGGATTAAAAATCATGTCTATAGCCCGAGTTGTCATCCCCTGTTGTTTTATATAAGAATATTCGAGAAAGTTTAGTGGAGATCATTCCCGGTTTATTTTATAAATTATTTTTTCCAAGCAGGTATGACATTAAAATTATATAGGCCTATATTTTACGTGAAATAGGTATCCATGGCTAGTTATTAAAAAATGGCACCATTGTAAACACAAATTGACATAAAGAACATAGGCCTACTATTGCGTTTTAAGTTTAAAGAATATATTTATATTATTCTACCTGTATTTTGTCTAATTCGTTTCATTTGAAGCATAATCAAAACGATAAAATACCGTAAAAGGTAATTCAACTTCAAATCTCAACAACTTAACAATAGAAGCGTTACCTTAGCCTCGTATTGAGTACCATTATGTCCGTATCTTGCTAAAGGTTTAAGCTGCTGTGTACCATCTGACCACTCAATCACCAGCGTCCGAACTGTTGTAGCAGTTGTTGGAACACCAGCACGTGACGCGTCACATGTCACAGTAAAAGTTCCTCCAGTCTCAGCTACACTTGGGCTGATAAGCTGATCACTTATTCTTTGACTAAATTTTATATAACAGATAGTTAAATTACAACCAGTAGTTAGCTATTGCAAGTATAGATGCTTACATTTCATATTGCTACTGGGCGTGTAATACATTTGTGTAAATAGTAATAAACCCGGTAGTTTAGGTATTCTAATAAATTAAAAACAGCACAGGGAAAATTCGGTATCTTTTTCTTTCTTTAAAATAAAGATCTAATAATTCATTGGTAATGCAAAATTACTATGAATTTTAGAACGTATATTAGGCATCTGTTGTGCTTTTACATATTTCGAACAGATTTTAATTCAAAACATAAACCAAACTTATCAAATCCTAAAATTGAATCTCCAATCAACTCAACTCATCATAGCTCTCAGATTGTTATATTAAAAGAAAAGCATCAATGAGAAAATCAATACAAACTATAACAATTATATTGTTGTCATTCATACCCAGTATGTGCTTCCTCTGTCCCTGAAAATATTTTAAAATTGTTTTTGTATTTAATTTATTTACACTTGTAAAAGAGGATAAAATACGAATGAAAACGGAGATAAACAATTTATGCTAAAATGTATGTTATAAAAAATACAATTAAAATGTCGATTTTCAAATTATCATTTAACTCGGAATTCAGTCATTTATTAATTAGTTGTTTAACGTTTCCTTACTACCTAAATAAATCACCAAATTGTTTGTATTATTATTAAGTTTAAATTAATTTACAACATACTGTTTGCCCGTAATTTACAGTTTAAGCGTGACATAGAAATACCTATTTGGGTGTATATCGCCATGTTCCCAACGACAGTGTCTCTATTGTTTTCTGTAGCCACACACATAAACATGTAGCCATCATACTTATATTCTATTTGAAACTTTAGTGTTGACGAATAACGGTAGCGGGAACAAGCTGGTTCTATGTCGACTCTCTCAAATATTGGGTTTAGTGCAGGGTATAGAGAAGTGATACTGAAATTGCTACCAATTATCCATTTGAAGGTTACGTTGTTTGGTCCCTGAAATAATAGTCAACTACCATCAGAGAAACGATAATACACAAACATAATGTTCAATAGATATGCATTAAACAAGAAGTTTTCGTGTAGATGGAAAGAGGTGATATTGTTCTGAGTCTAGAAGTGTTATTTCCCTTCCACGTAGCCCGTAAGTAACAATTTACAATATATTTTCCCTTTTGCCTGTCAAAGATAATCCCAAACTTTCATAATCACTAAAATATGGTATTGTTCAATGTTTGACATATTGGATAGATTCTGGGTAGAAAATTGAGGTTGATATGACGCAAAATTTTAAAGCTGGTGAGATGTTGGCCTGGGAGGGGGGGGGGGTTACGTGAAGAGGTGCTGTCAATTTATTTACAACAATTAATGGATGGATGTTTAAATTAATGAAATATAGGCTACGTACTTGACTGTAAAGATGAGACAATCCCTTAATACAGCGGTCTAAAATGATCAATAAAATGTTTCCATGGATCAATTTAGTAATTTTAACAATTGAATATTCTATTGTCATCGGAAACAAAGCTTCCCTGAAAATTTCAGCGCGCTAGCTAACTGGGAAGTGCCCGAAATTTCGATCGCAAGATTTGATTGGAAAGATGCGAAAGCAAGTTAAAGAAAACGTGGTAAAAATAACAACTAAATATGAGGTTTTGAACGGCTGTGGTAGGAAGTGGTACACATTGTCCCATTTCTAACCAAAGCTAGTTTTTGGCATTTTTTTTTACAATCTACTTTATAATATAGAAATGATTACGTAAATGTATTAAACGAATAAAGAATTTAATATTACCACAAGAAACTCGGGATCAAAAAATGTTTACTCTTTTTAATGGATTGTGAGTATACAAAATGTTTTTAAGTACCTCTTTGTACAGCTTAAACTTACACTAACGAATTACAGTCGAGAGAAGGATTTTGTTGATACAGCTTAGTTTATATTATGTTTTGCGCGGGTACATTGAAATTTTGGTCTAAAAATACACTAAATATGTGCCGTCTAACTTCTCCTTTGTTCCGCTTCTCACCACTTTTTTCCTTACGTATTTTAAATGGCGTAAAAACATTTTTTTTATTACAACCGTATTAATTGTGACTGTACTTACTTCAACGCTGCAATATATAGTAACACTTGAGCCTGGTCGATGAACGGACTCAAATGGTCCCAGTCCAGTATTATTCATGGGATTTAAGTAGAAAGACATTTTTCTTCCAACTGTTAAAATTGAAAATATTATGAGGCTAATGAGTTTGCTTTTTTTAATCGCTTAAAATGTGCATTTCAAAGATTGCATTTCAAAAAGTGCATTTCAAAAAGTGCGTTTCTAAAGTCCATATAAAAAAGTTAATATCAAAAAGTGAATACCAAAAATTTAATATCAAATGTTAATTTCAACAAAGTTAATATCAAATTTTAATTTTAATTTTTACGTCGCTAGTTTACGCGAGAAAACAATACTGTCCTTATAATAGAAAAGTTTATTTTCAATACTTTCTTTGTTAAACTTTTGTTTCAAAATGTCACTTTAATGTTATTTAATTCATTTAATTTAAATAACTCATTTAAAAATGGACATTCATATTTGCTTCACAGCAAAGAAGTTATTGTTAAAATCCCATTGTATACTAAAGTTAATATCTTCTTTATCAAAAAGAAATATACTTGCCTTTGATAGATAGGTTCTGGTAAAAGCCATCTAATTCTGGTTCATAATCAGTATCGCTCAACATGTACTTCCCGTGACAAATGTAAGTGCCGGCATCTGCACATCTGGGATCATGGACAACTAATGCCATTTTCATCGTGTTCCTGTTTTTTGGTCTTTCCCCCGTATTATTTTGGTTCCCTTCGAAATATAAAGTCCAGTTCCTTACTGGAATAGAAGTCGGCGGAATCTAAAAATAAACGAAAGAAGCTAAGGAAATCCGTTTTAAATCTCTCTATCTATATACTACTAAAACTCAAGTTTGTTTACATGTTTGAATATTTTTTTGTTAGTTTGTCTGTTTGGTTACAGGAGAGAATCTGCACTATGTGTAGAGGTGTAAAATAGTCTTTAGGTAGAGAACATTTTTTGTTTTTAAACAGACTGTTAATCACAAATTTATTTAAAGACGTTATTTAATGTATTGATTTATTCTTTGGTAGATTAACTACATTAATTATAAAAGTCCAGAACAATGACTTTACTTAAAGTGAATAGTGACGTCACATGATTTATTTACTTTTTACAACAATAATGGCGGCTTCCATCGAAGATGTTGTTGCCTCTATTCAGAAGTATAACGCATTATATAGCTAAATTTATGTCGGCTATAACTTTAACGATACGTCCGTTTGCTATTTTTATAACGTTCCAACACTTATATCAATTTATTTTCAACAGTCCTTTTCATTTAAGTATAGAATAAATTTCTCTAGATTTAAAGATCAGCTGCCGAAGAAAGTTATTCATAGAACTAGAATCTAGGTCAAAACAAAATGAATTATTTAAAATTAAAATCCATTTTAAAATCAGAATAAAATATTGACTTTCTTTATTAAACTATCTTAGTCCTTAAATATTTGATAAAAAACTTTGCTTTTTAGCTTCAGGTATCATCTAATTCAAGAATAAATGTGATTTATCTATCTAGGTTCTAGAGTGTAGACTCTAGAGTCACACTCTAGAATTACGGCAAAAACTCGGCTTAACCAATCCAGTCGTAGAATCTAGATAATTATATCTAGATTTCTAGATCTAGATAATAATGAGTTTCTATACTAAACTATTTCAGACCTTCATTACTTTATATAAATCTGTGTTTGTTTAGCTATGGAATTAGCTAATTTAAGATAAAATTTAATTTGAAAGATACTAGCTTATTCGCGTAAATCAAGTTTCTTAAGCAGACTCTTTTAACTATTAAAATATAGCACAAGAAACGCCAATGACGTCACGAGTTCAGATAGCTAAGTTGTTAATGTAATAGCCTTTTTTGCGGGTAGCACGGGTACGAGACACACCATATCATTGTTAAAAAAATTTCAATTTTTTTTAGATGTGAATGATAAAGTTGCCTATCGAGACTTGGCGGGATATAGGGCAGGGGAAGTAGAGTTCACCTGTTTCTTTGTCCTCAGCATATGAAGGGATAGTGTGGTCAGAGAAATGCTCGGCTGGAATCGTTTTTGTAAACGATAAAAACATATTGTCTGATACTTGGCGGGACACTGAGCAGGTGAAGTAGAGTTGAGTAGGTCAACTGTGACGTCAGTATATGAAGGGATAGTGTGGTCAGACCCATGCTTAGCCGAAATCGGTGTTATAGTCAATCACCAAATTGAATCAAGCACGTTCGACAGGGAGCTGTTAGGCGCCTTGAATTATCCTGTGAGCACCATGGCGGTTACGTTAGTTTTAGGGAGCAAGGGGCCGTACGCTGCTTCCCTGTGGTAGTGAAATTGGGGGCTCTCTAGAGCACCCCTCTACATCCCTCACACTTGGGCGGTCATATATATATATATATATATATATATATATATATATATATATATATATATATATATATATATATATATATATATATATATATATCACACGTCGCGCGTTTTTGCGAACTTAAATAAAGATAATTTAAACAAAAATGCAATGAATGTATTAAATTTAAATTTTCATGTTTATTGCAACTTACAAAACATTTTAAAATGATAATATAAAAGCATTCAGTGTTCCTTTTACAAGCTTTTTTCAACTTGCTTCTCTGTCTATTATCTAAAATTTGGCATGTAGGTCAAGGCGTGAAGATTTTAACTAATTCATAAAAATCAAGTAGGCATCCAATTAATGTCAGATAATCAATTTTTTTTGTTAATTAATTAAAATTATGTCAAAATTACTAGGCAGACGTATCCAACTACTCCGCACTATTATACGTGCTTTATCATGTTCACTATTATATTTTTTTAATCATTTATTTTCTACTTTTTAGTGCATTATTAAAATCTTGTTATTGAAACGTTTTTTATTATTTCTTTTAGGGAATATTTTTATTATGATTTAAATATAAAAAGATTATAGCATTTGGTGCACATGTTTATTGAAACAGAATTATCATTTCTATTGAATCTTGTAAAAATAAATGTATATTTTTTCATTCAAAAACATACATTACGCAACAATAGGGTTAATTAAAGTGCTGCCAATCTTTCTATTTAGAAGTGTAAGCTTATTTTCTGGAAAAAATGGTCATGGGCATGGGTAAGGCACGGTCTCGGTCACGGGCACCGGCATGGATATGGGCATGGGAATGGGCATGGAATTTTTATTTTTTTAACTTTTATTTTTCACATGTTGGTTTCTATTGTGTGAAAAATATAAAAATATTCAGTTATATTATTTTTCATATTTCGTTATAATCAGAAGAATTTTTTTTTCGGATCAAAATTTACCAAACCTAGTCAAGACTAAAATTAAATAATCAAAATTAAACATATATATATATATATATATATATATATATATATATATATATATATATATATATATATATATATACATATATATAGTTATATATATATATGTCAAACAATCTATTTGTATAGGCTACGCGTACATTTAGCTGTAAATGAGACTAAGCCTCTATAAAAGGTGTTACAGTTTTAGTTGTTAATTAAAATACTTACTAAATTATAGTATGGAGGTATAAGCGTCCTGTAAAATGCTAAAAGTGAATTTATTGTCCCACGTCTATGAGTAATACGTAAAGAGGAAATTGTGGTAGCAGTTGTTGGAACACCAGCACGTGACGCGTCACATGTCACAGTAAAAGTTCCTCCAGTCTCAGCTACACTTGGGCTGACGATATCATTTCTACTACTTTGACCTTTCACTAAAAAGATAAATTGTCATCTATCTATCTATATACTACTAAAAGTCAAGTTTGTTTACATGTTTGAATATTTATTTGTTTGTTTTTTTGTTTGTTTGTTTGTTTGCCTGATTGACTATCTCGCATGGTTGCACTCATCGTGGAAAGCTGTAAAATAGTATGTAGGTAGAGAAAATTTTTTGTTTTAAGACAGACTGTTAATCACACATTTATTTAAAGACGTTAATTATTTATTGATTTATTCATACGCAGAGTAACCCATTTTTTTTAAAAGTTTAGAACGACCACTACACTCGGCGGGACCGTGACGTCACAGTTTTTTGTTTACTCTTTAGTACAACAAAATGGCGGCGTCTATCGAAGAAAATTGTGTTCCCATTCAAAAGTTTAACGCGTTCTAAATCTAATTTTCTGTCGGTCATAACTTTAACAATACGTCCGTTTGCTGTATTTATTACGTTCCAACACTTATATCAATTTTAAACTGTCTTTTTTCATTTAGTTTTACAATAAATTTCTCTAGATCTAAAGATCAGCTGTCGAAGGAAAGTTATGAATCTAGCCTAGATCTAGATCTAGCCTAGATCTAGGTCACTAGACTCAATGTAAATTCTAGATCTAGACTTAATGTAAATTCTACATCTAGAATCTATTACAGGCCTTAATACATCTAGAATCTATTTCAGGCCTTAATTATTTTATATAAATCTTTGTTTGGCTAATTTAAGATAAAATTTAATTTGAAAGTTACTAGATTCTACTGCTAGACTTAGATCTAGATCTATGCGCGGAGACTCAAAAGTATAGTATAAAAATTCATTTGTGACGTCACGAGTAAATAGCTAAGTTGATAGCGTAGTCCGCTCTCATGTGGGTGGAACAGGTTCTAGACCAATATGTCAATGATCTTTTTTTTCAATTTTTTTTTTTAGATGTGAATGATAAAGTTGCCTATCTGAACTTGGCAGGATACAGGGCAGGTGAAGTAGAGTTCATCTGTTTCTTTGTCCTAAGCATATGAAAGGATAGTGTGGTCAGAGACATGCTCGGCTGGAATCGTTTTTTTAAACGATAAAAACATGTTGTCTGAGACTTGGCGGGACACTGGGCAGGTGAAGTAGAGTTGAGTAGGTCACATGTGACGTCAGTATATGAAGGGATAGTCCGAAATCGGTGTTTTCGGTGTTTTTAAAAGATAAGAAACATATTTTTGAATGTGGGGTCAGTTTTTTGTGACGATAAGTGACACTGCAGTAGCGTAGCGAGGAGGGGGGGGGCGGGAGGGGAGGGGAGGCTGAGGGGGGGGAAGGGGAGGCGGGGGGAGGTGGAGGGGGGAAGGGGGGGGGTGGGGGGGACATATGTTGGGGCGCCAAAATTGTTTGGAAAAATAAATTGAAAGGTTGAGGGGGGTTCAAATCGAAAGTTTGAGTGGGGGGGGGGGTGCACATCAAAAGTTTGAGGGGGGGGGGGGTTGAAAATCGAAATCTTGGGGGGGGGGGGGGTTAAAATCGAAAAGTTTGTCCCCGGGCGCCGGGAAGGCTCGCTAAGCCTCTGAGTGACAGACGTGATGTTTTTTGATGGATGACCCCCGAAACCCACAGTTATCCAACGGATGACGGGTATTCTAGTTAATTGCTAAATATGCATATATTTTTTAAATATTGTTCAATTAAAGTAATCCATCTATTACTTTATAAGACAATTGCAAATACGTTGAACACAAATTTACACTTATACAAAATATTTACTTTTTTTTAAATAATGTCCTGTTAAATAAAAATATAGGAGAAAATAATACAACCTTTTGAAAAACACAGTATTGCCATCCACAACCCGTATAAAATGCAGTAGTTCATTTTGAAATGCAGGATTTTGCCGTCATTAAACATACATTGCACTAAATTTATAAATGTGATTTAACCAGTCTTTTCGTTTTAAATGGAGTCAAGTCTGCGTTACAGTAGACGTGGCGTTGGAAGGCAGAGGTGATGCTAGTAGGAATGCAGGGGGAGATTTTGATAGATTTATTCGAGAAAAAATAAGTTAACTTTAGTTGTCATTAATGAGATAGCAACCATCATTAGAGGTATAGTCGACTCCAGAGTGTCAACGGCGTGATCGGATGGTAGAGAATACAACTACTAACTCATAAGTCTAGAGTTTGAGTTCCGTCCTTGCGTCCACCCAGCTCTAATGGATGCCTGACTCACTTTAGTGAAATAAAAGACGGCTGGGCATAGTGATGATCACACTTTCATATGTCAAGGTAACTGAAACTTGTGAACTCTACTTTACCTGGCGCATTGACCGTTCGCTTCGAAAAGAGAACTGAACTAACTCAAAAGTGTCGACTTCGGATCCCGGACTCAAATGTGTAGAATGTTATTGAATCCACTTAGGCTAGATGTTCAGCTGATTCACTTTAGGGAAAGAAAATCGGAGGGGCATTGTGCTGCCCGCAATACCCCCTTGTATGAAACAGGTGAGCTCTACTTCATCGTCTTGGGCCCATGCAGGAAAAATTGATGATCACTGTATCAACTATTTTGTTTATTATGAAAAAAAAGGATATATTTCATAACAGCCTCAGGCGTTTGAAGTTGTGTGTTTTATCAACGCCGATTTGTCGACAGTAAATTACTACTTATTAATTGTAAATCCAAACCCTAGCCCTAACACCGCTGTACCTACGCCACTGCTTCACCACTAGAGCTCTATACTTGCCACGTCACCACAATTTATCCACAAGAAACAAATCTCTGTCTGAGTACAAATCCATGTGGGTGGTTTAAAAGATTATAGGCCTAACAACGGATTAACCAACAGCTTTCAAGCAGCCAAATCCTAGATGTTTTTTGAGCCAATGATACATTTAGCTATGTTTTGTAAAGTGTTGAGATGAAGATTAAACAATATTATATACTGATTGTAGGGTGCCTTATCACAGCTTAACCAACATTCTGGTACATGAAAAAATAACCGTAGGACTAATCAGACAGTACGGGTCCATTCTTATTGGAATGGCAACTCGAGATACAGGCAGGCTTTTTGAATCAATTTTTAAATAATAAAACTTTTAAAAATAGAATAGAATCAAGTTGAAAAATGAAATACGCACTAAGTGAACAATGTGTGTATAATAGTGCGGAATGTTAGTACTTTATATATTCGTATGCGTTTTCGACAAATCGGAAATAGCATAAAGTATTATTTCGGTAAATGGAAATTATTCAAACTTTGAGAAAAGCAGAAAATTAATTGTTGTACTCATTTGTAAAAATTCATTCATCTATCTGGAATAGCTCTCATGTTAATTTAAGGATTTTGAAAAACAAAAGTACAATAAATCATTTTTCGTTTCCGGATATTGCTAAAAGTTGAAGCAGAACTTCACATTTTATATAATACTTACGTATAAAATTTCATTAACCTATCTGTAACGGTACTCAATTTATCGTGTTGACACACACATACATACACACATAGACATACTGACAAAATTGCAAAGAGCAGTTTTTCCGATTCGATTTCGCATAAAACGCCGAAATTTTGATAATGCTGGATTTATAATTTTAGCCCGATTAAATCAGTCCCCTATACTCCGTTTATGATGTATTGGTGCCGACTGAGATGTAAACCGATTAAAACTGTTAAAATATCATGTGATTTTTGACCGCTTTATTTTGATTGGGAAACACATTTCAAAACAAAACCTGTGATTAGCTTAATCTGAATCACAATCATAATAATTATGATGCGGTTTCTTTAGATCTATTCACGTGCGTTGAGATTTCCCTATGTTGATTTTCTAAATTGACGAGCTGTAACATGTGGATATAGTTTGCCACTGTATTGCAGGCGTAAAAGGCAGTACCACTTGTACCTCTACTACTTGTACCTTGACCACTTGTACCTGTACCACTTGTACCTGTACCACTTGTACATGTACCTGTACCACTTGTACCTGTACCACTTGTACCTGTACCAACTGTACCTGTACATATAACACCGTTTGCCTAAGGGATGTTTTATAATGTGTAATACTTTTTACATTTTATTCATTGGACAAGTTATATACCATTTAAAAAATTATTTAAGCTGGAATCAACGATTGCCGGTAAGGTATTATATTTTACGAGCCGACCCGCGGCGTATCATACGCCGCTATTTAGTTGTTTTATTTTCTACTTTTCAGTAATTCCTAATTTGTGAATTCGAAAGTACCACTGCTGTCACTGAAAATATTTGCTTTAAAACACTATCAGTAAGTCGTTAAGGACGATACCCCCCTCATTTCACCCAACCCCTAACCCCCCCCCCTCCCCCCCCCCCGTGAAAGCAGCCTCCTCTTAGCTACCTCTCCTAAGTTTAAAATCGTTTCAAACAAAATTATGTGCCCCTAATAGCCGTCACTAAACCCGGCTCTACGGTTGTAAACATTTAGCGTGAACCACAGCTCACCTGACTTCCTAGAGAGGAAGAGAGGGGACTGCAAGGCGCGCTTACAGATTGTTTTCTAACGTCTCCAAGAAGAGAATTATATATATAGATAATGGGACAAGGTGGTGAAGGGGAGAGACGATAAACATCCTTAGTTATCTCAATTTCTTCACAATGATTCATGCAAAACACAAAACCAAATTTAGATTTGTCAGTTAATTTTCTATTTGCGATACACACACATTTCTTTGTACAGCTTTAATACATTTTGTTACACTGCCACGCAAACAAAACAAAATTCCGGATAATAGTCTGTTCGCTTTAATCAACTAGCAACATACTGTAGGCTACTTTTGATTTCGGGAAAAAAATTCAATATGTGTTATTCAAAGTCTCCTACAATGTCACTGAAAATATTAGAAACATAGTTTAATAATAAATATAAGGAATAAAACTTACTAAAATTATCTGAATGAAATATTTTCTTTTATAAAAGAATGTAAAATTCCTGAATTTTAAAAATTGTGAATAGTCAGTTTTTAATTAATTTTAATTTAATAAACATATACTGCATACAATTATATAATATTTATCAAAATCATATTTTATTGTATAGAATTGTAATAACCTTTCAGTTAAAGTCTAAAATTAGCAAATTCTTTATCGATATAAATATACCTGTTTTGTGTATATCGTCATATTCCCAACAATTGTGCCTTCATTGTTTTCTGTAGCCACACACACATACATGTAGCCATCATACATGTCTTCTGTTTGAAACTTCAGTGTTGACGAATGACGGTACTGGACACAGGTTGTCCCAGAACTGACCAGCACAGGTTCAACAACTGACACAGCGTTTTGTACAGGATATGGTGTAAAGCTACTAAAGTTACTTAATCTGCTGCCAAACTTCCAACTAAAGGTCACGTTTTTTGGTCCCTGCAATAAAACATTTAAATAAGGAAAGAACAAAATAAGAGAACGCCGTGGTCGTATCGGTTAATTTCTTGGTTGCTGAACCAAAAAGTCTCGAGTTCAAACCTCGGGCAAATGATGTTCGATAGCTGGGGACAGCAATTCATCAAGAGATAACTCCAAAATCAAACAACTTATGACGTGTAATTTTTTCTTGGCTGGACAAAGTCTATGGAAACAAATCCAAAATAACCGATGTAACTCTTAGTCAATACAAGTTGACACGTAATAAATAAATGTGTTGGAGGTAAACCTTTTCAACACTAGATATAAAAACGAAGAAAAAGAGCAACAAAACAAGCTATACATCGTTGGCTTAATTCCCTCAGCTAAATCAGGTCTGTAGATTTAGTGGTATGAAATAATTAAACGCCCTTTTTTTCGGTACATTTTACAAATTTTAAAATTTTACAATTTATTTTGTAATTAATTAAGATTATAGAAATTTTAAACAGTTCAATAGTAATTACATATATAGAAATCATGTTTGTATTTTTTAAGAAATTTCGACCAAGCTATCTAACCTTCCCATATACCCTCTCTGTTTTATCAAAGACTGTTTTACTGTCAGTATGTACTTCATTATAGCTGTTTATTTTATTTACTTTGGCAGTTTATAGTTTTATTTTTCTTCTCCTTTGCAGGCGGCCGTCCCCCCTCTCTCCCTTAGCCACGCCACGATTTTCCCTTGTTAAATTTTAGATCTCCAATGTTTATTAGGACCGCCACCATTAATTTAGTCGTGAAAACAATGGTAATACTTACAGTGGCATTACACAGCAAAGTAACATTAGACCCTGCAGGATTGACCGACTCGTATGGACCCCGTCCCTTGGCATTCTGGGGAACTAAAGTCAGGGACACGGGAACTACTTGGGCTGTTTGAATTTAAAGATTTTGAGAAACAATAAAATAATATTAATTTATCATTGCGAAAATAAATAAATTAACATTAATTATTGTTATTTTTAAAGCAAATTTGTTGATATTATGGTAAAAATTAACACGAATTTACAACAATAGTTTTAAAAAAACTTTCAAAAATATAAACTTTCAAATACACAAAAATGTTTTTTAAGATCTGCCTTTTTAAACACAAAAATTAAATCATGAATTTGAACTTGTAATAGTAGTGTGTATGATGCAATAGTGTCAGTAAATTTACAACTTTCTATTTTAACGATTTAAATAAACTCTGAAGATCTGTTAAATGCTAAATTCTAGGAATGAAACTGACTGGGAATGACAGACTTACATACAATAGTGAGATTCTGGTAGCTAATGAAATATAATCTGCTTTCAAATGAAACATTACAAACAAACAATCCAGCATCAGCACATTTTGCGTCATTAACAATTATTTCAATTTTCATTGTGTTTCTGTTGTTTGGAGATTCGGATGTTTCTGACAAACTTCCAACAAAACTAAAACTCCAGTTTCTCTCAGGTAGAGAATATGGTGTAAACTAAAGAAAAAAAACACCTTTATTTAAAAAATAATCGCATGGATGGATAGGTTGATTGATTTATAGAAAGATGTGAGTATGAATAGATAATTGATAGAAAAACGAATACAGCGATGAAGTGAGAAAGAGAGAAGAGAGGCAGGTAAAGAGGTTGCAGTGGTAGACGAATTGACGTATGAAGAGATGGATGGATATATTTTAGTAGACTATTGTGTATTGCTTAAGTCTCCATCAGCAATACAACCTTTGAAAAACTTTAGTATATAATGATTATTAAAAATACTTAGGCTAAATTGCCTTACGTACTTAGCTTTTGAGAAACTTGAACCCAATATGTTTTTTCACAATTGTAAGTTCAAGGTTCAAATGTATTAGGCTAACAAACACACATGTATTTAATGTGATGCGATACTAAATGGATACACACAGCGAGATAAAGATTAATATTTCAACAAAATTGTGGATGGATAGGTTGATTGATTTATAGAAAGATGTAGCGACCTCTCCATGCACCCAGAGGGGTGTAGGACAAAAGGCCGACATCCAAAAGGCCGACAAGACAAAAGGCCGATATGACATAAGGCCGATATGGACAAAAGGCCGACAGCCAAAAGGCCGATATGACATAAGGCCGACAGGACATAATGCCATTTGTACGGATCCCGCCCGAGCGAACTTTTAATCTGGCGCCCCCATATATATATATATATATATATATATATATATATATATATATATATATATATATATATATATATATATATATATATATATATATGTATATATGTGTGTGTGTGTGTGTGTGTGTGTGTGTTTGCGACAGTCCGGAAAATATTTAATAATTACGGTGTTTGACTTTAGTTCCCCGACGATTAAATTCCCATTAAGATGCGGTATCCTTTTAAAAATGATTAGTAAAATTAGAAAGAAGTAAGTCTCATCTGAGTTAAGAGGAAGGTTTTTTGCAGGCGCTTATTAGTTTAGGCCAGTTTTTTTTATGTTCAGTCTTTGTTATGATATCGTACACAGATGAATGATACGTTTGTTACAATAAAGTCATACAAGTGACAAAGATTAGTAAATTATCAGAAACATTTATTGTACACATTGGAATACGGCAAGGGTATTTCGTTGACTGGTTGATTCTATAATGAAACATGCTAGAAGAAACGAACTGGAATCCAACAGACACTACAACTCGAAGACTTGAATTTCGAACATGTACGCTGCCTTCTCGCAAATCGTCAACAACAATTGCAGAACGAATTGTGCTGGTTGAACAATCATCAATAAACGGTTTATTTAAAGTGGCACAGCCCGTGACGTTCTGATAAGAATCAGCAGTGATAAAATGCGTTTTAACATTCTAAGCCAATGTGGAATTGAAATGCATTGTCATAAAAATCATATCATTATCTATAGCTAAATGTAAAGTCTCTTGTACTGTATGGCTCGGAGCTAGCTGGTTACTGACGGTGGAGAATGAAAAAAGAGCAAAGAAATTGTGGTTGTTATATGAAAATTGCAGTTTTAGGACTTGTTATTAAACAAGTAATCAATAAATGATCAATGCGTTACAACATACTAATTTTTTTAGCTCTTCAAATTTCGACAAACGATATCGTCATTTCTTAACAAAAATGGCTAATGAAATTGTACACTACGCGTTTATACAATGGGTTTCTATTTTAAGTGCTACACGGTTTATCTACTCACCTTTACGGTGTAAATCATTTCCATTTACCTTGGCGAAAAAGCGCCTACGCCCACCTACATATTTTTTTTAATTTTACTGTTACACATTGCGTCATAATACAGTTGGCTTCTTTTCTAAGTGTTAAAAAAGTCATCTACTCACCATCCAGTACAAATCCTTGCAATTTTAGTTTGCGAAAAAGCACCCCAGCTCCCCCCCCCCCCCCCCCCCCCCGTACCATTTTGAAAAAAATTCTAGTAGAGTTGTTTTAACTTCACTACCTTTATTTACGGTTATTAAATCTTATAGTACACATTAATACGATTTGTTTAATTTATAAGCGGTTAAGGTTATCGGCTCACCATTCCAGTGTAAATACTTCCGATTTTAGTCGGCGAAAAAGCGCCCCTCCCCCTCCTCCCATCTAGGAAAACTGTTTCTTAAGGTTTTTTTTTTTTTTTTTGCTTTACAGTTACACAATCAAGTTAGAAAACAGTTAAATCAGTATGTAAAGGCTTGTAGCTGCTAAATTTCTTAACTTTAACTGTTAAAAAAATACATTTTAAACTGAGCTTTTAAATTTTTGTCTACCCATTTTGGCGCCCCCCCCCCCCCCCGGAGTTCGGCGCCCATCCCTAGCCACGCCTCTGTACAGCGTCGCTGGATTTAGATAGGGTTAGTAAACAAATTGGATTAATACTAATGCAATTCTACAGTTTCGGTATTGCAGTTTTATCCAACATTAAAAGAACACTTTTTGTGTAGTTCAACCTTAAAAAACTAAATGAAAATTAATACAACTAATATAACTGACCCCAACACAACTTAGATTTAGTCCTATATTGTTTTAATCTCTATTTATTCTGAATATGAATGTATTTTTCTGAAATTTATACGTACATTAATAAAAGATTTTATTTAGCAAAATATTCAGATTGAAAAATATTTTGTATTCACAAAACAGGTACTACCTAGACCGGCGTGTCTTCGCTTAGCGACGCTCGCCATAATAAACTTAATTTGGTGTAGCTTTGAATCATCGCGAAACGCAGTTGTAGATCACAATAATCATATTACAATACTTATAAACGCTAGTTTCCCTGCATAGTCCTTTTGGGTGAAAGTTTAATAACTACGATTCTCACTGCAGCGTATTATGCACTTTTCTAATTTATGGTTTGAGTTTGAATTGTGGTGTTTATGATGAAATATAATCCAACAGCAATTATTTTGTAACTGTTGTTGTTTTTTTTTCAAAAGTATTAAATAGCTGTGTTGACAGAAGCATTATAATTTTACAAATTTTACAATTAGCCTACATTTTTAAAAACACATCATTGTAAAGTTGTGATGTCTCGCTCCTTAACCCTTCCCCCGATCTAACCACACTTTCAAGCACAACCCGTGTCAAACTGCACCTTCCCTAATAGAGTGTGGACCTTTAGGAGCGACTTGTAAATTAAAATTAAAACCGGGAGTGATCTCCCCTAAACTTTCTCGAATAATCTTATATAACTTGAAATATAGACATGATTTTTAATTACTTAAACTCTTAAAAATAGAATAGAATCTCATAGAAAAAAGAATTGCGCACCAAGCGAACGCCAAAACAAAATGTGCATAATAGTGCGCAATATTATTAGTACTTTATAAATTTACATGCGTTTTTTGAGAAATCGAAAATAGCGTAAATTAGTACTTCCGGTCAACGGAAATAACTTAAAATTTGACAGAAGGTAGAGAATTAAATCGTTTGCTTACATGTGAAATTTCATTTATCTATCTGCAATAGTACTCAAGTTATAGGCTTTTGAAAAATTCAAAGTAGAAAAAGTACCACTTCCGGTTATCGGAAATCAATCAAAGTTGATCAGGATCTACGATTTCGATAAAATACTTATATATATATATGCTTTTTCATCAGCCTAGCTGTAACGGTACTCAAGTTATCGTGTTTACACAAAGACAGACAGACACACAGACACACAGACATACGGACAAGATTGCAAAATTAAGTTTTTCCGTATCAGTGAGGTGTAAAATGTCGAGATTTATAAAAATCTCGATTTCTTTTTTTCACGATTACAAGACTTTCTTAATACGAGAAAGTAAAAATTAAGGAAACTGCCCTTTCAATTTATTTAATAAACTAGGCCAGTATTTAAAATACATTTTTTTACCCCTTATCAATTCAATAAAAATTATATCACGGAAACAAACTAAAAGAATGTAATCTATATTTTTTCTTAAGTAATTTTTTTTAAAATTGTGAAATTATCTATCCTGACCAAGGGAAATAATGTGTTCAACTTTTGTCAGGTAAAACTATAATTTTTATGGCGTTAAATAAGTTAATCTTAATTCTATAATCTCTACTTACGCTATTAACCTAACATCTTAGAAATGATAAATATTGATTTTTGTATACATCAGTTCGTATTTAAAAAGACATTAAAAGTTAAAAATATAGCAGAATGGTGATGAAGGGCAGATTTCTGCTTTATGGGAATCTTCCACAAACATTTCCGCCCGTGTGTCATACAATCCCTTTAATTTTCATATAATGGACTTACTTTATATGGAGGAGCGTACGTCCTGTATCCTGCTAATAATACTGAATTATTCGACGCACCCCTCCATTTAATATTTAATACATGAAGAGTTGTAATATGTAATGGAACACCAGCACGTGAAGCGTCACAAGTCACATTGAATGATCCGCCTTCTTTAACCTCTTTAGGGTTGACAATCGTATCGCTCACGCTTCCAATGTAATAAAATATTAATTAAAAAATTAATAAGTATCTATTACTTTAAAAATGGACAATGCCGAAATAGACTGATTGATACATCTAAAGATTCGCAATATTATACAACAGTTAACTACTTAAGTTTTAGCGAATAACAATCTGATTATAGAACAATTGTCTAACGTATATTGTTAATATATATATATATATATATATATATATATATATATATATATATATATATATATTCAGTAATATAAACAATATTCTTACATGTAAGTTAATAAAATGACACGTGTTTGTTAAAGCTAATATTTAAAAAATCAATATGAACAAAATATCATGTCATAACTAATTGTTATGTGATGTATGTGATGAGCAAACCGAAACAAAATGTATTTTCTTATCCATTTGCACAATTAATCAAAACTTTACATGCACTCTAATGTAAGTAGGTTTAAAGTTTTAGTCATTGTAAGGTTGAAGTTTTTTAAAGTTTGAATTTTAGCAAAACTCTCTCTCTCTTCTGTCGTATTTCAACCACCCTAAAACTTTAGCCTAAATCTTAAATTAACTCCGTACTTAACCAGCTAAAGTGCAAGCACACAACTACTCAACGAAATATATTTTTAAACAAATGGCAAAATATATTAAAAGGCAAAAATGTAACACAAATACGTATGCAAGCTATACTTTACTTATTAATCATTGTAAAAGAGTAGCTAAGTCATTCAAAATAAATTTTCTAAGTTTGAAAAAGAAAAACCCGGACGAATAACTCGCTGAACTAAAAACCCTTTGACATAACACCCAACGGTAACAAATAAAATATGACGAAGGACATTATAAAAAAAATATCCCTGAATTTCAGCTGTTTGGAGCTTATTCAATGAAAAATCTACGATAAATAATTCATTCTACTTATAAAATTGAAACTGAGTTGGTCATTAGTTTACTTTGTAAAATATATTTTCTAAAGTGATTTTGCCTTGCGTTTCTACCTCAAAACGTCCATTAGGTTCTGAATATAAAAATCCTATGCTAGCCTTCTACTGAATTGGAGCCGGCGTGTCCCCTTAACTTATACATGTATTGTTAAAACATTTATCTCCCTCAGCTATTGTTTATTTTGATGTTTCTTAGAGAAATTAATATAAAATTTTGCCAATTAGCATTCTTTTAGTAATAAACCAATTAGCATGATATTTTGATTCCGGCGAATAATATTTAGGTAGAAAATAGAAAGTTCATTTAACTTTAAAAAATAAAATTAAAAATCTTAATCTGCGGGTTTATATACATACATACATACATACATACATACATATATATATATATATATATATATATATATATATATATATATATATATATATATATATATATATATATATATATATATATATATATAGTTAGTGGTTAATATCGAGGGTGTAGTGTTATATGTTGCTTTGTACCTGAGGCTTTGTTTAGTGGTTTATTTCGAGGGGTTTAAATGCAGTGATGTTTTTTTTTTACTTCGTCCCTGTTAGCACTGTAGTTATACATACCTTACAGTCTCTACAAATGACGCTGCAATTACAATAAAAACAACAGATTGTATATTTAAACAATAATGTTTTATACTTTTTTCGTTTACGTTCTGAAAGAAAGATAAATAATAAAAATATTGATATACCATTTTTTTTGTTACGTTTCAAGAGATTATCATGTATTATCACCCAAGACTAGTTTCTACATTGCCAGTAAAAGCAGATAATAAAGTATTATATCACTAACAATTTTAATTTAATTAATTCCATATTATAACTGCATTTTGTAAATCTAATTTAAAAAATAACAATATATTATATAAATAAAGTATTGGTTAATTATCATTGCAGTACCTTCTGATACATATATCGTCATGTTAGCAACAATTGTTTCTCTGTTGTTTTCTGTAGCCACACACACATACGTGTAACGATCGTACTTGTATTCTAATGTAAACCTCAGTGTCGACGAATGAAGGTACCTGGCACAGTTTGTCCCAGAATCGAATAAAACTGGTTCGCCTAATGTTACTGCGTTTTTGTCAGGATACGGTATAAGGCTACTAAAGTTACTTAACTTGCTGCCAAACCTCCATTGGATGTTTACATTGTTAGATCCCTGCAATTATACAGCACTGAGTACAAAGAACAAACATATTTCAAGAGTTAAATATAATTTTTAACAACTTTTATTTTTGCTCAGTGTACTTAAGAAATAAGATGTTAAATTGTGTAGTATGGGGATTAAATGAATTAAAGTTCTTTATCATCATAAGAGAAAGCATAAGCTATGAATTAACACACATTTCGCTTTAGTCACCCTGCTTAAAAAAAACACTCCATTGAAATTCGTTACGAATATTAATTTTATCGGGAAATTAAATCATATTACTATTATTGCTGATTAATTATGTGTTCATGCAATTTTTTCATTTATTTACGGAACTTACATTAACAAAACACGTTAAATTGACCTTTAATCCTTCAGTACCTTGCAATTTCAAATCTTGAGGGGGAAGCGTACCATCTGCTAGCATTTTTAGGAATGGGGCGCCTTTTTTGTAATCTAAAAATTAATTAAAACAAGAAAAACAGTGATGAATAACTAAACAAAATGACAGAAAAATTCATGCACCTATATTTTGTTCCGCGACTATGTTTCACTGTTGTGTGTATTAAACTCTTAGTTTATGAACTAACCGTTTGTGGTCGTTGTTTGTACTAAATTCCTTGTTAATTAGAAGTCGCCTATAAAAATAATTCTTTGTATATACTAAATTGTTCGGTTAACACAAATTTGTCTATCAAAGATATTTATCTATTATTGTTGTTGGATGTAGTGTATAAGTGATAAGCGATGAGTGTCGCTAGCATAGTCCAAGTTGACGAGGTGAGCCACATATTTCATTTTCTCAATTGATCGTTTTTTATGGTCTCTTATTACCAAATGTCTACTTTTACAGCGGGGCCTTGTTTTTACTTTCTCGTATATACGAAGTATAGAGAAAGTATTGTAATCGTGCAAAAAAAAATCGAGATTTTTACAAATCTCGACGTTTTACACCTCACTGATACGGAAAAACATAATTTTGCAATCTTGTCCGTATGTACGTGTGTGTGTGTGTCTGTCTGTCTGTCTGTGTGTAAACACGATTACTTGAGTACCGTTACAGCTAGGTTGATGAAATTTCATATATAAGTATTTTATCAAAATCGTAGATCCGTATCAACTTTTGAGCGATTTCCGACAACCGGAAGTGGTACTTTTTCTACTTTGAATTTTTCAAAAGGCTATAACTTGAGTACTATTTCAGATAGATAAATGAAATTTCAAATGTAAGTAAAAGATCTAATTCTCTACTCTACCTTCTATCAAATTTTGAGTAATTTCCGTTGACCTGAAGTACTAATTTACGCTATTTCCGATTTTTCAAAAAAACGCATGTAAATTTATAAAGAACAAATAATATTGCGCACTATTATGCGCTTTTTGCTTTGGCGTTCACTTGGTGCGCAATTCTTTTTTCTACTAGATTTTATTCTATTTTTAAAAGTTTAAGTAAACAAAAATCATGTCTATATTCCGAGTTGCCATCCCACGTAGTGTTATATTAGAATATTCGAGAAAGTTTGGGGGAGATCACTTCCGGTTTATTTATTTTTTAAATGTAAAATAAGCAGTTGCTGTATTAATTGGACATAGTGCTCCTTGCCGTATCAAACTCTTTAAAATGATCGTAGGCACAATAGTGTATACAGGGGAACTCCGGCAACGTCCCTTCGAAATAAGAATTTTTTTACGGAAATACTAAGGGGTGCCAATTGACCTGCTTGGACGCCCTGTTTTACCTTTTAAAGAAATGTAACTGCGACAAGAATTTAAACATTTAATTTCTCCCATTCTTTAACTGCACACAAAAATATACGAAAAAAAAAACAGTTTGATAAAGGAAAAACACCCTTATTTTTTATACTAAACGGGTTTAAATAGCTGAAAAAAAAATTAATAAATAAAAAAGGCGTTATGTAAATAAACCCTACTCAAATCCTTGTAATTCGATGCAAGCAAAATCATTACATGTCGTGTTTACTATTATTTTTCTAGAATCTATAGTGTGTGTGTGTGTGTTTGAGTGTTTTGTGTGCTTGTGTGTGTGCGTGCTTGTGTGCGTGTATGCGTTGTTCGTGCTTTCGTGCGTGCGTGTATGTGTGTGTTAACACGAATATTTGAGTAGCTTTTTAGTGAGACTGACTCGTTGTTGTACACCTTTTATTTATTGCCATGGGAAGGAATGTAACCAAAAACAAGGTTCTCTGCACAGTCATGTATATTTTCAGACTTGTTAATGTCAATTGCCCCAACTATTTAAACGCGTAAATCATGTGACAAAACATCAGCAACATAGTTATATTTAACTATAGTAACTTTATAACTCAATACTTTTTTAAAAGGCTTATTTAATAATTCAAAATTTTGCATGTAGTCCTACCTGGTTCGGTACGAACACGTGGAGATGAAATGAATGACACTGGAACAAGTTGAGCTGTTAAAAGATTTGAATCTACTGATTAAAACATTAAATACATAATATTAAGATTGTAACTATATATAAACGACAAATCGAATGACTAGAACGGACATTTGTGTATTATAACTCGCCTGTAATTGTAAGACTCTGATACCGACTCTCCATTAAAACATCATTATTTGAATTAAAGTATATCGCAGAACAAATATACAAGCCATCGTTTGGACAGGTAGTATCATTTACCGTCATGCTCATCATCATTGTGTTTCTGTTATTTAGTCTGTCAGTTGATTCATTGATCCGTCCAGAGAAATAAAACCTTATTTTTCCGGCAGGTGAAGTTTCTGGTAGAAACTAAAACGAATAATTTTATTTTAATATATATATGGATTATATGGCTTACTATGTGGCGGACAGCAAATAGACCCGTGGCATACATACATATATATATATATATAAAGCAAAGTGGTCAGGTACCCGATAGGGCACTTTCCGGCGCCGCAGGCGCGTCAAATTTGGCACGGTGACACCTTGGGACGATAGAACACGAGGGCCGGTGACGGTTGTCCGAAAAGTCCACGGAGAGGAGGGTCAAAACTGACCTCGACTGACCGGCGCCTTATATGGACTATATTACTAAAAAAAACTTTTGCCGAACGACCCCCCCCCTTGATATTTTGTGAGATGGTAGGAGATCGCCTACGAGTGTCAGAAAAAACTCGCCATGTCCGGGAAAAAATCTGGAAATGGGTCAAAACTGACCAGTTGTATTTCCCTATATAATCTATGTATTTTATGGGAAAAACAGAGGGTCATTTCAACGCGGATTTTAGGGTACTTAAACTCAGTATATCTTGCTAATTTTTTGCATGCTCCTAGGTAAATGGCTTCGCCTTTAGGGAAAACTGTCGGTTTAACTCAAAGCCCTCGACGAGGGCTAAAACATGACCGCAAGTGAAAATCTCCTTATTTGAGCAATATAACGAAAACATTTCTTGCCGAACGCTTCCCCCCCCCCCCCCTCCCTTGATATTTTGTGAGGTGGTGGGAGAACACCTAGGGATGTCAGAAAAAACTCCCATGTCCGGGAAAAATCTGGAAATGGATCAAAACTGACCAGTCGTATTTCCCTATATAATCTTTGTATTTTGTGGGAAATACAGGTTAATTTAACATAACTTTTAGGATACTCAACCTCTATTTATCTGGCCATTTTTTTGCATGCACCTCTATATATGACTAGGCCGTATAGAAAAACTGTTTGTCATACTCAAAGCACTCGACGAGGGCTAAAAAGTGACCGCGAGTGAAATTTTCATTATATAAGATATCTATAAATAAATTGACGAACTACCTCCCTAATATTTTGTGAGGTCGTAGACCGACTCCGGAGGATAACAAAAAAAAATATTATTCCCTTCGAAAAAACCCTAAGGGTCGTTAGATTTGTCCAGATGAATTATTTCCTTATAATTAATTGTTTGTAAAAAAAAAAAGTAAACATAGACATACTTCATTTGTTCAATTTTCGAGGGAGGTACCTTTTTAAAAATAATTATTTTTTAAACAATTGTATACTATTTTAAACATAAACAGAGAATGACAAAGTATAGCATTTGTTTAAGGGGTCGGCGTGGTCGTCGGTAAAGCTCATGGTTGCTAAACCGAAAAGTGGACAGCCACTCTTCTAGGAGAGACAACTCCAATATCAAACAACTGCTGTAGTTTGTTCTTGGTTGGACAAAGGCTATGGAAGCAAATCCAAAAAGAAAAGCAGGCTGAAATCGGAGTCAATGGCCTCGATGGCGCACAATCAGTTGACACGTATCCTTAATTGTGATGGAGGCGTGGTCGAGTCGGCAAAAGGTCATGGTTGATAAATTCGAAAACATTCTCGAGTTCAAACCCTCTGGCAGATTTGGCTCGATCCCTTCCAACACTAAAAATTAAGAACGAAGAAAAAGAAGAAGAAGAGCGTTTGTTTCCGTAAAAAATTAAGTTGTTAATTAAGGTACGTATCCTAATTAAATAAGTTAATTAATTTTAAAAGTCAATGTAATATAAATTATGAGATATACTCTTCATGGAACCTCTGTAGTTCTAATTCCATTTTAGTCATACATTTCGAAATTTCCAATATTTTCTCTGAAAATGGACTGTACACAACAAAGATCAACAACAACATGTTCTCTAAAATTAGCATTACTGTTTAAATTTAAGCACTCCACGCCTCAACCGTCACTTATAATTGCGTTTTCAAATTCTTAAATGTTTTTGAAAACCTAAGCGAAGCTAGGCAGTATGGCTAGTATAGTAATAAACTGGACTTGATAGCCATAGTGTAATATTTTTATAGTATTTATTATTTAAATTAATTATTTTAAAAATTAACATTGATGGCTTTGTAAAACAAATTTCATTTTACAAAATTATTGTTTTAAAAAACGTTATGTGGAATGAACAAAAGAAATTTTTATCCTTCTTAAAAATTCCAATTGTATCTGAAAATTGCTTCTCTTAGTCCTTTAAGCACAAATTATTTTTCTTGATAGAAAAAAAAAAGACTTCCCTTGCCTTAGACCCATCGGGGAAACAAATTCTTTCTATTAGTTTGTTTTGATGTAGGAAAAAACATAATTGATAATAATAGTTTAACTATTCTGTCGCTGTGCCTGTCTTTCTATGTGTCTATCTATCTGTCTTTCATACAAAAAAATATAGAGAAAACACAGGCAAAATAAAAACTTTCACAGTCGAACGGAAAAAGGAACGTGATGTCACATGGAACACATGAGATATTCTAACGCCGGAAAAGCACACACAATAATATGACGTCAGTGATTTTATAGTAAACATATAATTTTAAAAGAGATTGCCGAAATAAATACACATTAATAATAACGTCATCGATGCTTAAAAATAAGGACGCTTATATTACCCCCTCATTTATTTGTCTAATCTTAAGAGCGGTTTGGTGTGCAGTTTCTTTCAGAAGAAAGAAACACAATCTGTATGGTTGAGGTTAAGCGGCAA